GCTTTCCGGGCCAACTTTCTATATTTGATTTTGATCGGCCGTTGCCTCAACGGGGTTGCATTCTCCATGTTCATGTACTGCAAACGGTACTGCACAGACCCTCGGATTGTTGGCATAAGACGGAGAACGACGCTTGCTAGCTGGTTGGTCATTGGTCAAGGCATGGGCATGAGCTTTGGCCCATTCCTTGGTGGCGTGTTGTACAAAGTCGGGTTCTCAAACTCAATTTTCAACGGTTATACAAGCCCGGGATGGATCATGGCCGTGATTTACGCTGGCTTCTGGGTTTTGGTAACAAAATATTTCGAGGACATCCCTCGACCACCAACCGTCATGGAATTGCAGTCAGCAAGACCCATCGTTTCTTTAGAAGTGAAAGGTGAAGACACAGAGGCTTCCCCCGATTATCCATCAGCATCTACCACACGTCTTGCCTCGCCCATTGACGAATCGTTCAGAGCACAACTCTCGCTGATTACATGGTCCCAGTGGGGTGTCATTGCATGCATGTGCTGGTTCGCGATGCTCTGTTTTTTTATCCTAGGCTCTTGGGAAGCCAATCTGCCTGTTTTTGGTGCTGCTGCCGAAAACTTTCACTGGTCTCCATTTGCTGCAGGAAATTTCATCGCTCTCGGCGGAATAACATGTTTCCCTTTCCTGCTCTTCAACCTCTTAGCTGCACGTCGCACACAGGATCGCAAACTCCTTGCATTCGGTACGATTATCGGCCTTGCAGGGCTTATCATTTTTCTTTCCATCCTTCGCACCGACAAAGTCAATTATGGCTCCCTATTTGCATGTTGGTGGACCGTAGCGCTCGGTTTTAACCTTGCGACCACTGTGACCCTTAGTCTACTCAGCAAGCAGCTCCCACCCGAGTGGAATGGGCGCACTTCAATGGCAATTCAATACAGCAATTATACCGGTCGTGTTACCGGCGCAATCTGGGGTGGTTCGGGTGTTTCAGTGGGGATGTCGAACTTTGTGGGATTGGAAATTGCTATGGTCGGTATTGGAGCTGTTTTGTTTACCACATTGTGGAGGGATCTAAAGACGAAGACGGGATGACATCCGGGGGGAAGGCGTTTTATAATACTTTGACATCCATCTATAGAGGCTCGCCATTATGATTACTGCACAACTTGTTATAACGTGCCAATTATCCAATTATGATCACAATTGGTAGTTGAAATAAAAGATATTGTGCAGCTCAAGTCCACAATTATGATGACCTTGGGGTGTCGTCCACCAGTGTCTCGTATTACATAATATAATATGACGGTCAAGCACGTGTATATCCAACAGTCGGCGAGACTACTAGCTTACCATTCCAGACATCAAGCCTTCAAGTTTCAAGGTCTGCCCTAGCATGACTCTAGGGTAAGCGAGTTAAACCCTTGTCAACTAAACTCTGCTTGAATCAGTAAGTTTACAATCCAAACAGTGCGGGGAGGGCCACACATGTTGATTTGCCGGCACGACCCTCGTTCGTTCATCATTCCAATGGACTCCACTGTCAAACACGATCATGTCGTGCAGTTTTCTGACCATCTGGATGCCTTTATGCAGATGGAGGTTATCATTGGCCATTCGTCATCGTCATCGTTGGAATCAACCAATCACGGTATGATTGAGTTTCCTTCGCGTAGATTTGATGAATAGTGGTGTAGTTCTTTTGTCATTCTATAAATGATGTCTTGATTGCAGAACTCGATTTCCTGATGCTAGATGGCTCCGCAGAATTAGAATGCAACCTGGAGTCTTTCAGTCTTGTGCTGTTCCGCGTGGCCATGAAATACGATCCAGAATGCCACTGACTCCGACACAAGGATCTTGAACCTCTGGCCATTCGATGGCTAAGATCATAACAAGGTATGCCTGGTTTGTGCACCAACAACAATTGGACTGGCCGATCTTTTTTTGGCTGTTGGACCCTTTTGAAATGGCAAAGGACTCCAGGAATTGGAAGACGTAGATGCACAATGCATGGTCATAGTTAAGGCCAAGGAATTGCAGTTGCGTTGCACTATACGCGCTTGAGCAACCGACGTTGATCGCTTACTTTGAACAGTTGTATATTCTGTATCACGTAGTGGCGGCGCCGTGATAAGGCTTCTGGAGCTCAATTATGAATGTCACTGGGAACCAGTCAGTTCCTATTGCCCTCACGTACATGTACTACCTTGCTCACGTGTTATGAGCACCTGTAGTTTTGGCCACTTCCGAACAATGACGGTTACCGGACACATTGACCATCATCAATGGCCATGTCGCAGTGTATAAAACGGAGCCTCGCTCGAATGTTGTGGCTGCCACAATAAATCCATCGTAGTCGTCGCATCATTGTCCACCTACATTCTTAACTGCACATTATCATCATTTTTCTCTCTGAAAGTTGCAGGCTAGCAAGGTTCGTGCTGATATCTTCTAAATCTTGCAAATGAATCTCACCTCCGAGTCACTAGCACTGCCCATCAGCCATGAACCAAGTTCGTCGTGCCACCCTAGAACTGTTAGATCTGCCCGTCGAAATCCTCGTATACATACTCAGCCATCTGGATGGCTACGAAGTAGCGCGAGCACGTCAAGTAAGGACAAAGTTTTCTATTTCCAATTCATTAACTCGGTCTCTCTCCAGGTATGCTACGATATTCGACACATGATCGACTCTTCCTCGGACTTATTGTATTCAATTGACCTCAAGTATTTCAACTCAATTTCATTCCCTTCACCTGGCCCAGATCGCACCGTCTCATCGCTTCGCAAATCACTTCGACAAAGCGAATTTGCATGGCAGAAAGCCGAATACTTCAAAAGTAATCCCATCTCTATACCGTATATCCGCCGTGACGCGTTCATGTGGTCTTGCGGTATTCTGGCATTCAAAGTGAAGGATGAAAATCGACTAAGGTTTTTCCAGCCGCAAGTGACAGACTCTGATCATTCCAATAGCACGAGCTTGCGTGAATGGGGCTGCCAACTCGATAGCGAATTCCAACTCTGCGGTTTTTCACCCACACAAAACCTTTTGATTTTCCTTGTCAGAGCATCCCCAGGGTCAGTAGTTCCTTCAAGTTGCATCTTAGTGACTCAGTCAGATTATATTAACGTAAATAAAGGGAAAGTCACGCCTATGATCTTGTTTTCAGATCGCTTTCAGAGCCTGATAAAGTCCATCCTGAAGCTGGATCCGCTGCGGTAAAAACCCTTGACAAAGACGACTTCGAATTACTCGACCCCCCCGATGTGTCATCCTCCATTTTCGGGCATTATTGTGGCCTTTTGTTCAGCGATGCTTTCAAAGTAGATGGAGTTTTGCAAATTTGGAACTGGAAGTCACAGGGCACTTCTCTGGTCAGTGAATCTCCTGACTCAGTGCTGTGACTCGTGACTTACCTGGACTTGTAGTGCCTCAAGCCGGCTCATGAAATGATGGATTTCAGTTTCCTAACAAACGAAACAATTCTCGTCGTCAACAGCAAGGAACTACTGTTATATTCCCTCGTTGATTTCCCCGATGCTCTCCATCTTACTGCCAAATTCTCGCTCCCTGCCTTGCGAACACCCTTTGAATATGAAATAGTCCGTATTAAGGACACCGTCTCGTCCCATTCCCGCATGCATAATCATATCATCACTATCAACATGAAGGTTTTTGGGGAGGACCTCACTAACGAACCTTGTATCACAATATATGTCGAGCGCAACACCCTGTTGAAACTCCAGTCCACCTATACGCGCCGATATGGCAAAGCAAGCGACAGTTCCCCTAGTTTGCCTTGGTCTAAATGGGGGCTCAAACATACTCGATCCTTCAGGGGACACTCGTACGATTCTTGCAAACATGTCATCTTTGGTTTACGGGCTGTATCTTTGTTCGGCTCCCAGACAAAGCATCCTGTGCCGCGACCACTGTGTATCCGCGATTTCAACCCTCATCGAGTAGCGGACTTCAAGGCTGGGAATGGCATTAGATGGAATCAACGACTTATCGAGGACAAATCATTGAGTTCAAGTGCGGATCTGTTCCTCGAGCCACTTGGATATAGTCTTCCGTATATCGAGACTATCACTGAAGAGAAGTTCCTTGGACTCAATTTAATAGTGGCAGGAAACAAGGTGATGTTGCTGTCCTTCGATTTTGTGGGCAGACTTAGGAGCCCGGCGCAAGCGGGTGGACCGCATTTTATCGCGAATGAAGTTGTGGACCAGAGCATCGAGATACTTAATTTCGAGTAGTTATTTATCTCAAGCTTCATGTTATCTGAGCCTTTCAATTCATTTTGCGTCTTATTTGCGTGTTGCGTACTTGAGTATTGACGTGCTTTTTATTATGAGGTCGAGCGCGATTGACTTTTATTTGATTAGTATTCAACACCGCGTCTCGACACCTATGCCATGTGTTAGTTGCTATTTTGCCAATATCTATGCTGATAACGACCTTACGGAGATACTATTAAGCACGAGCAGTGATTACGATCCAACTGCTAGCTTGGCATTATATTCGGGCGGCTGATGTGTGCTATTGAGTGCTCGCTGGGAGCTTGGTATCATGACTGGAGAGTTCGTGAGGGTGGTTCACAATTTAAAAAAGGCCGTCGTGATGCATAAATTTAGTCTCATGCTCAAAAAACATTTCACCTTGCAACTCACATAGTAATTGCAGCTTCAGCTACACACTGGGCTGGAACTTCATTGATATTCTGCATCATTGTCAGTATCTTCCTGTTCAGTGATAGATTTGTCGAACATCTTGGGCAGGGTATCCTCCAGTCGAGTGTTCACCAATCTGCATGGAATGAACTGCACGGTGAAACTCGATTATTAACGACAAAGCATAATCGACAGCTATCATATAGAAAGAAATTACGTGAGTTATTGCGAGTACATGTTTGAGTGGCATGGTTCCGATACTGGTCACTGATTCATTCCGAACAGGTTCATCATTCTCTCTCTAGCGATGATCAGTCTCGTCCACTGACACGACCTCAGAATAACTCTTAGCTTCATCTTGCGCCTGAGCTCTGCTTCGGGAATCCTCAACTCGAATTTGATAGAGCAAGGCCGGTATGTTTTCTCCGAATTCATGAACTCCGTATCATCCAACGGTTGTGTAGAACCGAGGGTGAGCCGGAAGGCCCAAAGAATCAGGACCGTGCCTATGGATACCGATCTGTACCAATTGAAGCGAGCCTGGAAGAATTGTCATGTATGTAGAAATATAGATGCGAGGACGGTCAGCTAGCGCTGCGCCCTGATTGTCCATAATATCCATAGCGGCCTGCAACAGAATAAATCCAATGAGCTTGGACATGACAGCTTGGCGTTGAGGGACTGACTTTGTAACGGCCAATAACCACTAAGTTTCTGAGTCCCGACCGAAAAGTAATCAGAGGACCATGCTCATCAACCCAACCCGCTATGGTAAGAAATGGCCTCATCAGCGCCAGACCATGAGCGTTGAAGACCATGTATTGGATGCGAAACTTTACTTGCGATGCGGCAGAAAGTGTCCCCGAAGCCTCCAAGTGGAAGGAAGGTGGGAGATGAAGGCCGTTCGTTAATTGAGGAAGGTAAGCCTGAGCAATACTCCTATCACATCAAGATAAGTCACAGCGCCGACAATGAGCCGCGCGTTGTCAGGAATGGACAAGTCAGACAATTGTAACATGGCTGATGAAAAGGGCGTAAGGAATGATCAGAGAGAACTCAGCGTAAAGTTATAACTGATTTTTCAAATTCTGAAATCCATGCCATTACTGCCACGTCTCGAGTCGCGGTCCGTACGGTAGCGTTGGAGTACTTCCGAAAAGATGGCTTAAGGATAAGTCCAAGAAATTACTCAAGACAAACCGCAGCACCGAAAGGCGTGGTGGCACCGAAGTCATTTGACAAGAATAATTCAATTATGTCTCGTCTCAAGGGCAATTGAACAAAATTCTGCTGGAACCCAGCTGAAAGAGCTTGAACATAAGCGGTGAAACGACAAGCCGCGGTTGACCAGATTGTGCGACGCACGTGACGTGTCACAAATCGACCACTTCAACTTTTGAACTTTAAGTTGCACGTCTATTCCAATTATGACGAGTGGCCCGCCTTGGCAAGCTAATAACTACACTCAGCATGCAGACATAGCATGAAGAGCTGTAAAGAGATATAATGTGATGCATGATGCACAATAAGAAGATCCTGACCCGTACGCCATAGATAAGTATGCACTCCCCGAGGCTAACCTTCAGCTGCACACTCTACTCTTTCCCTCTCCTTGTTGTTATTCCTGACATGTTATAGTACTTATTGGACAACCCAGGTGTACTTGGTCCGATGTGACACGTCACGTCTCCCCTCTGCCTCGGATTCCAATATGTCTACTGTATTGTGAACGCAAAAGCGACCTACTGTGAGCTTTCCTATTTATGCCCGGGAGTCTCACCTGAGTATGTGAGTAGAGCCTCTGCCATTGGTCTAGGGAATAATATGACCTAATCGTCTCGATGTCTCCAATTTGCAATCATATTAATATTAGCCCGAGTGGTCATGCTGGGACGTGGCACAGGGTGTTTTTCCTTTCCACTCAAACCGCTTCATCCCGACTGGCATTTTCGTGCAGATGACGCTCAAACTACTACTGAATCAAATCAACCCGTTCTCGTCTCGCCGTGAGACGAGCGACGATTATAATGAAGAGGAATTTAAGCTTCCGAACATGACGTCTCTAGTCATTATGCTTGTAATGAATTTCCTTCTTCAAGTAAGACAGCGATGTCAACCATTATGCAGCTGTCACTCACTGCTTCGGCCCCCATAGATCTCGTTTTTCATCGTCATTTCATCGTCAAGCAAATATACAGAATACTTGGGAGGAAATGCTACTTTCTCTGGAATTGTCATCGGGATTCCGACAGCTTTTGCCGGACTTTCTTTGATTCCCTTGACAAAGTACGATAAAGGTATGTTTAGATGTCTTCCTCTCTTTGGACAGAATTTCAATATTTGTTCTTTCATCCTGTTCTAAGGGATGTACAAAATGCCCCTTCATGTCAGTTGCTGCTTCTCCATTCTAGGCCACGTCGCCTACGCTCTGGCTTTCCGGGCCGACTTTTTATATTTGATTTTGATCGGCCGTTGCCTTACCGGGGTTGCATTCTCCATGTTCATGTACTGCAAACGGTACTGCACAGACCCTCGGATTGTTGGCATCAGACGGAGAACGACGCTTGCTAGCTGGATGGTCATCTGTCAAGCCATGGGCATGAGCTTCGGTCCATTTCTTGGTGGCGTGTTGTACAAAGTCGGGTTCTCAAACTCAATTTTCAACGGTTGTACAAGCCCGGGATGGATCATGACCGGGATCTACGCTGGCTTCTGGGTTTTGATGACAATATATTTCGAGGACATCCCTCAACCACCAACCACCAAGGAATTGCAGTCAGCAAGTCCCATCGTTTCTTCAGAAGTGAAAGGTGAAGACACAGAGGCTTCTCCCGATTATCCATCAGCGTCTACCACACATCCTGCCTCACCCATTGATGAATCATTCAGAGCACAACTCTCGCTGATTACATGGTTCCAGTGGGGTGTCATTGCATGCATGTGCTGGTTCTCGATGCTCTGTTTTTTTATCCTAGGCTCTTGGGAAGCCAACCTGCCTGTGTTTAGTGCCGCTGCCGAAAACTTTCACTGGTCTCCATTTGCTGCAGGAAATTTCATCGCTCTCGGCGCAATAGCATGTTTCCCTTTCCTTCTCCTCAATCTCCTAGCTGCACGTCACATACAAGATCGCAAACTCCTCGCATTCGGTACGATTATCGGCCTTGCAGGGCTTATCATTTTTCTTTCCATCCTTCGCACCGGCAAAGTCAATTATGGCTCGCTATTTGCATGTTGGTGGACCGTGGCTCTTGGTTTTAATATTGCGACCACTGTGACCCTTAGTCTACTCAGCAAGCAGCTCCCACCCGAGTGGAACGGGCCCACTTCAATAGTAATTCAATGCAGCAATTATACTGGTCGTGTTACGGGCGCAATCTGGGGTGGTTCGGGTGTTTCGGTGGGGATGTCGAACTTTGTGGGATTGGAGATTGCTATGGTCGGTATTGGAGCTGTTTTTTTTACCGCATTGTGGAGGGATCTAAAGACGAAGACGGGATGACATACTCGGAGAAGAACCTGTTATAATATTTTGACATACATCTATATAGAGACTCGACATCATGATTACCGCACAACACTGCCGTCGTCATAACGTGCCAAGTAGCCCGCCTTCTTCGTAGCATAATTTATGGGGTCCAAATGACATAAGTAAATGAGGTGTCGGGGGTCCTGACTGCTATGAGAGCTTCGCGTTGTGTCACTTGTAAGACGAGTTCCGCCCTACCATGAAAGTCTTGATTGCACTCTCCGTTTATATTCTTTCTGTGTTACTCGTATCAGCACACGGCGGCCATGAAGACTCAGAAGAGAGCGCAAAACTTGCTAATGCGGGCTACGCCATTCGACATGTATGAGAGACCCACACATTCATCCTAGCCGGTGCTGATTCTTCGTTGTTCGTAGATGGCTACAGAACACCATATGTGCGCAACTGAAATATATTCCAACGTTTTGTTCTTATATGCTGATACAGCGACTCCTTCGACATGGAGAGTTTCTTCCAGCTTCATGATTTGAACAGGTAATGAAACACAACCCGGGCAGAGGATTACTGACCCGTACTCTTTGCTTCAGAGATGGTGTATGGGACCGGGAAGAAATTGAGGCTATATACGGCGTCCACCATGTGTACTCACAGAAAAAGTCGAAGGTTTGGTAACTGAACATCTTGCGCTTGTTGTGTGCTAACATCATGATAGGACGAGATTGAACATCAGAAGAAGGCTGATCAGGTCGCGGATACTGTACTCAAGCTCTTGGATAAAGACGGAGACGGCAAGGTCACACCAGAGGAGTTTACCGCTGTTGGGCTAAGTGGCCTGCCGAGTTTTGACGACATAGGCGCAGAGGGACACCATTACGACGTAGAAAGCGGTGAGTTTTAACCAACTACACGTTATAATTATTACTGAGATTGCAATAAGAGTTTTTCTTACATCATGAAGGTTTGTTTGACGTACAACCCATGCTTTCACGATTTGTAGCTCAAAGGATGTTCCAGAACAATATCACTCGACGCCTGAGACACAAACCGACGCATCATACACTCACCCCGAAGACCTTGAACACTTTTCACAGCATGCAGCTATTGAACGTGAAGAAGCAGAGCGAGAGGCAATATTTCAAGGGATCACAGTTGAGGAAGCCATTCGCGCACATGAAGAGCCCCCTGCACGTCCTGCACCCCCCGCTGAAAGCGCGCCAAAGCCCAAAATTACCCGTGGAGTCCCACCAGAGAAACAGGATCCGGTGGTCAAGTACAAAGATATTGGCAAGGAGAGTGACAGCCAGTCAGAATGGGGTACCGGAGAACAAGGCTACAAGCAGCCTAACACACCGGCAGAGAAAACGAGGTTAGTTTCACGTTTAATCCCGATGCATTTGTTTTAACCAGTTATCTTGTGTTGCAGGAAGAACCTCCCATACAAGGTACGTGCGGTCTGAACCTCCTCGCTAGCTGCATGGAGAGCCGCTAACTCATAGGAACGTATACAGTATAAATTCCGACGGAGTTGGGGAGATTTCTGACGAGATATCTGCTGATTACTATCCGCTGCTTTCCCCCTAGGAATTCATTCGCATCTATATATACCCATGTGCTTTGCGTATAGAACAGCGAACAGATCCCATGTACATCCTAGAGAGACACAAAACAGTTCATCCCCTCAACGGCCGTCGAACATATCGTCCAAAACTCCCTGCTCAACCGCCTCCCAATCGATGTTCCCACTACTTGCATACACGCTCTCGTAAGATGAGATGCTCACATGGGAGAAGAATGGGAAAAGGTCCCTAATCGAGTCAATCTGACGGATTGATTTTAGTATGGGCCTCCGTAAAGCACGATCGGAATGGGCAGCAGGGAAAGCAATGGAAGCTGATGTTGGCATTGATAGTCCAATACCTTGTGGTTCCTAGTGCGATTCAGATGATGAATATTCAGATAGTCAGAAAGAAGATGACGTACTCGAGGCTCTGGAATAGGTAAACTGCCAACTACTTCAGCGAGCTGGTCAAACATCGATTCTGGGGTCCAATCGTCAGGGCGAAATACGGCATCCACGGTATCGGTGATGAATATCCACTGATGTCTGTAATTCGTCAATAGCCATGCTAACACGGAGAACAAGGAGACAGTACATCTGGAACTCTTCTGTCTGAAGGGTAAGCAGCAAATCAAGGCATTTGCTGGCCGAAAGTATGAGTTGTAGATCCTCTGAGCCATCTGAAGGTATCGAATCAATTATTTGCCCAAATATTCGGTACTGGAATTTGTGTTAGGTTTCGAATAAGATACGTAATATGTTCAGCTTACTAGTTCAGTGAGAATCACGGGCCAAAAGCTCGTCATACTATGTGCAGCCAGGCGGCACAACAACACTCGTATGCAAAGGTAGACTTCACATTGAACTACGGGAGATGGAACATTGCGCAGGATATCCACCAATTTCTCCTGTATAGCCGGAAGCTGGGTTAAGAAATGATTTTTCTCTCCTGTGAAGAGGACGAATGCAAGCCGTCTCAAGTTCAACGATCGCAGAAGCATCTCATGCTCTCGGTTCGTGAAGATATTGGCCGAGGGCGACGTAGCAACACGGCCTAAAGCGCATAATCAGTAGTGCTAGATGAATTCTATGGTGCGAATTTACCAAGAAGGTCAGGGAAAGAAGTTTTATCACCATCAAATACTGCTTTGATGATGGGTTTCCACTTCATAGCAACGCTGGAATTTGAGCTGAAGATGCGATGATCGTAAAGGACATCGGTTACTGCCACTCGCCAAACCTTCATCGCAGGTGGAATTTTGATCATCTCCCGAAATATATCAACCACAACCACATCAGCATCCAGAGGCCTGTCATTGGCTTGAGAGGGTTTGACATCCATCGTCAAGAGTAAAGCTTACCTGGCCTTCGTTTTGATGCCTGGGCTCACTATGTAATACACGATGTTGCTACAAGCACTCGCTACCTTGTCGTTATCCATCAAAAACCGGCGCAGCTCTGGAACAACTGTTGATGCTATAAATGCGGTGATCTGAGAGACAGTCTCAATCAACAAGATCTCGCAGTTAATAAGTAATTTACCTGGGAGGGTAACTCTGTTCCCCAAGTCGGCTTGGCATTATCCGAAAGCGTAGTAGTGCTGGGATCTTTCTCGTCCTGCTTCAAATCCGAGACTGACGATTCATCAGATGGCAGAAAAAGTAATCACAGAATGGATAACTAACCACCACCACGAAGAGCAGGGGAAGATCGACCATTCGTGACTGTCGACTCCCTCGTGGTACGTCTCATCCAATTTGGTTGATCCGTCGATTTACCCACAAAAGTAACGCATGCATCAAGAAGTTTTCCGAATGTCTCCTACGAATGGAAGTGAGCAGACTTCAATTTGTACAATAGTTTGAAAGTACCGGACCTGGAGATCTTTTCTGATGCGCTTGTCGTCTATGGCAGTGGTCTGAGTAACTTTGTCGCCCAAAACGCATAAGCACCTAATAAACAGTGAGCAGCGAATGATAATTTTGAGTAAATACACACTTCAATGCCAAGAAAACCTGGATCTTGAAATCCCGACTTGACGCCAGGTCCTTCGCGAGCTGCATAAATCGACTCCATACTTGAAGAGCCAGAGGCCCTTCAAGCCGTTGGAAATATTGCTCCAGGAAGTTGAATAGGACGATGTCGGATCTGTCAAGTAATACGTTTGGTATTCCACTCATCCACTGATTTGATGGATAACTCACAGATTCGCGTTTGCGGGTTTCCTACTGCGCTCCGAAGTGTTCGAAATACGAACTGATATACTGTCGCAGATCATATGCACCGCGCTTTGCGCACTAGCAATCAAGATATCGACCAAGCCGAAGATACCTGTCGCAGGCTGGTCAGAGCCTTTGGAGCGGAGCGATGCATCGTGATCCCAGCATTCAATGACGGACTCTAACACTTCCGTAGGGTGAGCGCGGAATAGGTGCTCCAGAACTCTTCGACAACGAGCATGTGTCCGACTATAAATCATAGACAGAGAATCCGCCTCTGGCCGCAGGCCGGTAGTGTCATGCCACACCATGTTGACCCATATTGCGAGTAACACACGGATGCCATCATGGAGAGATTTGTACCCAGGTGAGTGTGACTGTACGACTGTCAGCTGTGATAGACTAGACACGAAACATCATCAAATTACTTGCCGTTAGCTGATCTTCGACAGTAGCAGATGCATTATCTGTAGTGAAGACATTCGAGACATATCCCAAGATACCTCCCGACTCAGCTCCAGGTTTTTCCTGAACTGGAGCGTCATCCTCTTGTGAACTAGCATCTGATTTTTGAGTCAAGCCAAGCACAAGTAACCGCTCGAGCGTGTTGAGAAGCATGGTGAACTCAGCATCAGTCGCAACCCGAGGATAGCTCCCATTAGTCATTGGCTGGTTCGCCTTTAGTATATCTGAGAGGAGCAAGCGTAGTTGTCGGCAAAGACAGTCGGCGATAGGAGAAATAACGCTCTGAAGGGCAGGTTGGAACTGGGGAACCGCCATTAGCACAAAATCTAACCAGTGCTGCATCACGGGACGATTCCGCGGGATCGCAATACCATCTATGATGGTTTGTGTCAGCAGGGAGTTGACAGTGTAACCCCCTTTCCCGGATTCTTGCAAGCCTTCTGTACTTCGATCCTCGGGAGGCGGGTTCCCGTTGTAGGCGTAAGAGGTCGAGGCGGATACAATGGAGTGGAGGAACCGCAGTAACTTGTTTTGCAAGTCCAACCGATGTAAATGGACACAGAGGAAGAGTTTGCCGATGACCATTGGCTCGAGAATTTCGATGGCGAGCATTTCAATCTCTCCGCGAGCGACAATGGTTTGGAGAAGGTCTATGGCGGAGGATTGTATAACCGTGTTCAGTGGCTGCATAACCGAAGCATCTTGATCTTTGGGTTCGGATTGAAGGAACCTGTACGAGAATGAAACGCAATGACGAGTTAGGGTAAGTGACTCACCTTGACAACACCTCGATGAGCGCATCTAGGTAGCTCGCATTGGCGTCTACCCCGGCTAGTGGCAAATTGTTAAAACCACAACGGCAAAATGGTGATAGTCATTACCTGAGCTAAGCCTCTGGAATAGCACATGGTCATATGAACGCCTAAGGAAGGTGCCGCGCGCAGACTTGGAAAAACCTTGACCACCGAATTGGACGATCGAGAGTAAAATCTCGAGAAGGTGGGCGACATAACGCTGGTCAAATGACTTCTCGTAAACGAAGCCCCTGATTTCTTTGCCGCTCACTCTGCTAACTCTGGATATTCGACGGATAGAAGGGTCCAGAAGATCGCGGAGAACCGGTTCCAAGACCCTTTTAGAATCATATAAGCCTTCCACCAGGCCACTAGCTCAGAAAGTAGTGTTACCTGATATATGACCTCAAATTGCATCGCATCCATGTTTCTCCAACGCGTCGCAGGCTTGGATCATCATGCTTCAAGGTCTCCAAAACTATCATCAACGGCACCTTCAGGCGCACTCCAGGAAGCGAGTCGTCCTCTGAGAAAGTTCAGTCAGCATGATAATGGAATGACACTTGTTTACTTACCTGATAGTCGCCAAAGTACTCCAAAGGCCTCGTGCGCCTCATAGACGTTTCTCGACTCAGGAGAACACATGCTCTGGGCTATTATCGACTCAACTTCATGGGGCCGTGACATTGATTCTATGGACCATATGAGACTGACAGCTCGCACATGACATGTAGCCAGGTCTGCGTGGAGGTATCTGAAAAGCTACGAATCCAACCTCTATTAGATCAACTTCAAATGTGGTCAGACTTACAAACCTTCTTCACCATACGACTAACCACAGGTCTTTTATCCATCGACAGCTTTGGGCTGAGCTTCTGCGCACCATGCAAAGACAATATCAAAGATACCACTTGGTCCACCAGGGTGAAACTGACGGCCTAGAGACAGATAAATTTCCCTGCCAACAACCAGAGAGCCTCGCATGACATACCTCGAGATCAAGACAATCGAGCATAGAGTACAACCATTCTGAAGGTTCCCATGACAGACTGAGTGTCGCATCACAACTTCTGTCCACCGCACGGACAACGCCCGACAAAACTCGCAACACCTGTGACAATGCCGCTCGAAGTTCTATCGAGCCCCCTTGCTGAGCCGAGATTGATCGTGACAGCGCTTGACTTATACAGAACATATGTTCTAAGACAGCCACCAAAGGATTAAGCACCTCACTGCTCGGATTTGATTCGGTGAACTTAAGTCCGTAAAATGCATAGGCAAATGGGAGTGAGCCAAGAGACGAAGCTGATGTCTGAAGTGCTGCATTCAGCCCGGGACGCTGACAGAGAGACTCTAGAGGTATGTGTTGGAAGATTTCTTCTTGCAGAGCCAGACATTCCCGGACAGAAGCTTCGGCAGCCTTGGACGGGTCGTTGTTGATCACACGCTGTGTCATGGGTCAGCTGCTATGTCATGTCCCAGTGACAGTAGTCGCACCTGCAGCTCCTCCGTTATAGCGGCAAAAATAACTGGTAGGTGAATGCTGCGAACTTCATCATCTTGCATAGGGAGTGAACGCAGTAGGAATAAGGTCAAGTCAATTGCCTAAAGAAAGTGTGAGCTTGCGCTACCCGAGGCCGAGTTGCAGCGAAGCTCACCCCGGTTTTGCTGTCTTCGGACAAATCTTTCATTATTGCTGCCAGTAGCTGCTTCCAAAGAATACTGGGCTCGACAGCTTCATATAGCGTACTGGCAGTCATAGAAATCTTGGGGAAAGACAAATAAGATGCTCGCACCTCAAACACTAAGAAATAGGACGTACATCCTCATTGTGCTCCTCCGCGTCCCGCTGCATCAGAAATCGGATTGCTTTAAGAGCGTCCAATACAAGAACATCGGTTAAGGCCGATCCTATCTCCCACTTGTCCAACAACGAAATAAAGATCTTGAACGGTCTTGATTCGGAGTATTCCCCTGAAGGCGCAAACATTTCATCCTAATGACAATTGTTAAGGTCTCATCTCGATACACCCTGAATTATCACTTACCTTGAGCGTGGTATTCAATAACTGAAGTGCATGCTGTCGCAAGAAGACGGTCTGGTTCTCGCTCTTCTCATCCGGACCCAGCAACCAGGTATAAAGTCGTCGATTAAGTGACAGATCTCGACGCAGGACTACGCCAGTCGCAGCTCTCATAAGTATGACGGTATCTTCCGAATGCGCTCGTTTGATAGCAGCACTATCGACCCGCATCGACTGCAAGAGAATGTCAAGCGCGCCCCTTCGAACCAACAAATTGTCGTCCTCGAGCGCCGCTGCGAATGCACGGATCATAAGCCCTATATCTCTACCTACTATCTGAGTTATGTCTAGAAAATATTGAGCAGTCGAAGATCATACTTGGAATTAGCCTTACCTTCGTCTGCGTGTAATCGAGGTAGTCTGCGAGAGAGAAAGTTCAGGGCGGTTCCACGTGCAGAGGACATGGTTATCATGATGAGCCATATGTTCTGGACGAAGAATACGGGGGAGACTGTTGCTGACAGTCGGTCGAGTAGGGTGAGCACCTATACCAGTTGCATCAACCACACTCATATTTGTGAAATGTAACAGTAACATACCTTTTCAAAGAATTCGCCGGTCTCCTCTTCAAGACCCGGAAGCAGTGCAAGGATGAACGACTTCATCACAGGTCGCAGACCAGCTTGTAAAGGCAAGTAATGCGTGTCATATATGGTCAGCAGTATTGGCTATCTCGATCAGTACTAGATGAAGTAGAACACGTATGAAGCCATACCTTGACTGATGTAGCAGCATACTCAAAGAATGGGAATAGGCCAGACGACCATAATGGTAGGTCCCGTTTGAGACCTTCCGTCTAGCATCGCGCACACATTAGAAGCTACCACGCAATGACCGCGTTACACTCACTCCGAGCACAGAAAGTATGTGCGTATAAACATCCAGAGCACGTTGATGCACGCCAGTTGGTAAAGCAGGATTCAAGCACTGTGCCAACCGTTTAGCAACAATGAGCTTGTACGGGATCTCCTTGAATTGCATGTATGATTGAAACGTCTGTGGGTGCGAAATCGCGTTGAATCCATGCTTCCAGCTCAGTGAAGAAGAGAGTACCTTCAATAACTGCTTCAAAAACGCGATGCAGTCTGCCCACTCGTGTACATTGTCGAATGCATTGAGACATTTCTCTACTTGTTGCGTGTACTTCTTATATTTTGGATCAGAAGCGTATGTTTGATGCACTGTAGCAACCCAAGTCAGCGATTCAAAGACAGGCCATCGGAACCTGCATGAATGCGTACATTTCTCCCTGGCACTCGATTTCGTAGGGTCTAGCACCGCAGCCGCACTCGTGCCTGGGGTTCCACCAGTGCTAGTCTGCGCGATAGCAGGGCTTTTGTTGGACATGATCGGTTGAGACGCGGCTGGTATATGGTTTTGTGTTCCGACCGTGCAAATGGCCTAATGTGAAGCACCACAGGCCGCGAACTCGAGTAGAGAGCGCACTCAGCGAGACTGAACGTTGCAGGCTACGTATTAGCAGTTGTACCAAATTAAGGTCGACGTCGTGGTCACAGTTCTGTCACACGAAGTAGCCTGTCACATAGTATCGGAGACTGCGCAGAACCAATCATATTAATAGAGGGAGAGGCATGGACAACAATATAGTACGTATATGACATTAATGCAAAAGGTACGAGACACGTTCAAAACATAATCAAAACATAATTACACGAAACTAACCACCTATGACTCCGTGTGCTCTGGCGTGTTCTGTACGGGAGCATCATTACCCTCTTCAGACGCCGGCCCAGCAACAATATTACGCATCTTGGAAGGCGCTTTCACAGGGTGATGATCGGCAATAATAGACCCTGCTCGTGAAGGCGCAGCCGATATGCCCGACATGGCACGCGCCGCCTTAGATTTGCTAGACCCTTTTCCAAGTAACGGTGCAGATATCGAGCCACCGCCTTTTGGCGTCGTAATTTTGTCTACATCGCCATTCTTATGCGAAGCTGCGGCTGCAGCTGTTGCATTGGCATATTCAGACTCTTTATCGCCAACCCATGATCTAGCGAACCATCGTCCGCCTGCGATGCCCCGTATTTCACGGTTTGCTGTTCTCCAACGACGGATTTTGTTTCCGCTTCGGTCAAGGGGTAACATGGGAGCGAAGCCTGCTCCGATCTTTGGGGGCGGCTGCACAGGGAATGGTTTGGACGGTAAAGGGTAGATAGGGAGAGGTGCAACTTCTGTTGTACCCTCGACTGGAGGGGGAGGAGCATTTTCTGTGTCCTCATGTTCCGAGCCCCCCTCGCGAGTGAGGGGAAGTGGTGATGAGGGTGCGGTTCCAGCGTATGCTGATGCAGAACAAGTAAATATGGACTACAGGGGAAGCAAGATAGTACTTACATTCACTCAGTGCTCCTTCATCCACCACCAATGTCTTTGCTGCCCTGAGAAGTATTGGCTTATTGATATATTTTGAATTCTAGTTTACGTACTTGGGGGGAGCCTTGGCTCTGGAGCGTTGAGCAGCAGCAGGCCTACGGGGTGCTGCTCTTTTCTTCGGAGGCAGTTTATCGGCAACTGCGGGTGTACTGACATCCTGAGCATCGGTTTGCTCGCCTGTTTCTGTTAATAGAATTCGGTTGAGTAGGAAGAGGGGCTTACCATGGGGCTTTTTGTCGAGATCCTTGTCCTGCTTTTCACTCTTCCGTGGTTTTGGCTTCCTCGCTGGCGCCTTCCGCTTGGTACCACCAGTTGAAGTCGTAATGGCAGGGGTAGAAGTAGATTGTTGTAATTCATCTTCGTCGTCAATAAGTTGGTCCTCTTCGTCCTCCTCCTCAACGTCATCGTCACTATGTGTCCGTGCCTGCGGGGCAGGTGGTGGTGGTGGGGACGGGGGTGGTAGTGGAGCAGCTTTCTTGTTGATAGTTGATACACTAGGTGAGGACGACTTGCCCTTGCCCTTCTTCTCGGTTACTAGTAACTTTACTCGGAATTTGGAAGTTCGAGAGGGCGGAGGAGGAGTGGTCTCTTCCCTGAGAGTTGAAATTTGAGGAGCATCCATGTCTACATCTTCATCCATGTTTTATCGAAAAATGTGCCAAAAATTGAGTTGGTGATCGTAAGCGCTGGCGCGGTGAGTAACCGATGGTAGAAGAGAGAGTCAAGTAGTGTGCAGTATATATGAGACTTTGCTTTGGCCGTGGGTGACGAGACCACTTCCACGAATCCAAATCCACATTCACGTACTGAACAATATTAGCTCAATGGTATCTAATCCAGACAATCTGAATTCGATTGATATCCTTGCCATTTAGTCAACTCATCATTAACATCCAGCATCCGTGTTCCATAGAACTGATGAGCAGTGGGCTTAGCGATATCCCAACCAACTACCTTTCCATCCTCATCCCTATCCAGACTCGCGCCCCATATGCTTACGCGGTTGGTATTATAGTTGTGGGATGCAACCCCGACGCCACAGGTCTTGCACCTATACCGTCGCTTGTATGGCTTGAGGATATTGTCATAGAAGTCTAATCGAAATTCGTGGGGTTCTGGATGTGTCCATGTGAATGCAGAAGCATCGAAATGCATGGTATGAACGAATGGACACGCTGTAGTTCGAGAATTATTACTCTTTCATCAAAACCGATGGGGTTCCACTTTACAAGTTAATCTCTGGCAGCTCGTACAGTGACAATACGCGCTCAAAATTGGACGAGCAGAGACAGCGTATGATATGGCCTGGCAGAAACAACTGCCTTGCAATAGCGGGACATGATCAATCATAACTTAAGGATATCGACTCGAAGGCTTCGAAGCACGACCGTCAGGCAGCCTCAGGCTTGTACATAGTACGGAAAAATTATGTCAGCGGGAAACGCCGACTTGCTCCGCTGAAACTCGCAAAGCAGCTTTTCAATAAGCACACTCCAAGTTAGTTCTCCTCGCTTTCAATCTGCTTGGCCTGCTAACATTTGCTTCTTAGCATTAACTTTCATTTTGAAAGTCGAAAAAGGTCGAACGATGTCTGCCACACTTAACGTACGCACGCCATTCTTCGCGTTTACAGCCTATTAAACTAAAGCGGCTATGAACTAGGTTGCTCGCTACAGTGCTCTCCTTTCAGGTGTCTTCTATGGCATCTACCACCGTCGGTCACTGCAAAAAGCCCACGACCAAGAGAAGGAACACCACGCAATACATCAACGTGAACAGTTGATAGCACAAGCAAGGGATGCATGGAGACACAAGCAGGAGAGTCCAAAAGAGTCGGATGGTAGTGAGTTGCACCCGGAATACTTTCCTTCCATACTCTTTTTTTCGCATCTTATGCGCGTTTCCTATATGTTTACTAATTTTGAACTCCAGTCATCACAAACCCAGAAGATCCACGATTCGACCTCGAGAAGCTCGTTGCCAAATGGGAGAAAGATCTATAATGGTAGTTTAGTCCTGCTTTCCTCCGTCAACTATACCTATAGATCACTGCCATCCTCAATTTCACTCTTGTGGCAGACGTAAATGAGCCATGTCATCCGAAGATTCTGAACTGCTCCAATGATTTTGTTTCTGCTGCTCTAAACGCGTTTATCTTAGTTTTATGAATGAATTTGAATGTCTGCATGATATGTGAAGGTAGCGCCGGCTAGCGCTCAAAATGAGTTTGGGAGGTGTATGTACATAATCGGTAGGCGCGGGACGCGACGCGCCTTGTTATCTTCCTTTGTTCCGCCGTGTTCTCGAGTGAACCAGACCCGGTACACACCATATCGCTCATCTATCCCATACAGCCTATTATCTGAGATGAAACCCACCGTTCAGGACGAGGATATGGAAGATGACCTCGCTGCTGAGGAGGAGAACAAGCTCATAAACGAGGTCAGTCTGCAATCTGCCCCAAATTTTCCTCCAATTTAGCAGGACAATCGTTTTTTAGGAGTATAAAACATGGTAGATAATCCCTTCTATCTTGATGTAAAGGTTTCTAAATTATAGCACCTCTACAGGAAAAAGAACGCGCCGTATCTGTATGACCTAGTCATCACACACGCACTCGACTGGCCAAGTTTAACGTGCCAATGGTTCCCCGACAAAGACACGTAAGCATGTCATCACCCTCCTCCAACCTTCATCTAATCTAGTAAAAAGACCAGCAAACAAGCCCTACACAACCCACCGCCTCCTCCTCGGAACCCACACCTCCGGTCAAGCCCAAGACTACCTCCAAATCGCAGTCGTCCAAATTCCCAAACGGGACGAAAAGCTTGACCGTGATAACTACGATGAACAACGCGGTGAACTTGGCGGACACACCATCCCTCCTCAGCCCCGCATTCACATCACCCAGAAATTCAATCACGATGGCGAGGTTAACCGTGCGCGATATATGCCGCAGAACCCGGATTTGCTCGCGACCAAGGCTATCTCAGGACAGGTGCTCATTTTTGATCGGACGAAACATTCGAGCGAGCCTCCGAGAGGGGGTGTTTGTAAACCTGATATCAGATTGGTCGGGCAGACGAAGGAAGGGTGGGTGTTTTGATTGCTTGAGATGTATCTAAGGCTTATTACGGGCAGGTTTGGTTTGGCTTGGAACCCGGTGAAGGGTGGACATATTCTTGGCGCTTCAGAGGATATGACAGTGTGCCACTGGTGAGAGGAACGTCTTTGGGCACGGTCTGGTTGCTGATATTTTCTAGGGATATAAACTCTTATACAAAGGGTACTAGCACCATCGAGCCGACAAATGTTTTCAAGGGGCACAACTCTGTTGTCGGGGTTCGTGCCATCCTTCATGTTTGCAAGCAAGCTATTAACTAGTTCGTTGAAAAGGACGTAGATTGGCATGCGACCGAAGAAAACGTATTAGCTAGTGTGGGAGATGACAAGATGCTTCTACTGTAAGTGCAATTCTTTTGCATTTCCATCCAACCAATCTCATTGCTTCCTCAGCTGGGACACCCGAGCTGCCACCGAAGCTACGACAAAAATTCAAGCACACGACAGAGAAATCTTATCATGCGCATTCAGCCCATCATGCGAATATCTCATCATCACCGGCAGTGCAGACAAGGTACGTATACACTCAATCACTCGTATGGGTGGAGTTTATTCTGGTGTCATCTAGACCGTTGTGCTGCACGATATCAGATCGCCTACTAAAAAGTTGCACACTTTCGAGTCACACACAGACGAAGTACTCCATCTCGCATGGTCTCCCCACTCTCCTACAGTATTTGCATCTGCTTCAGGAGATCGACGGGTCAATATCTGGGATCTTTCTCAGATTGGCGTGGAGCAGTCACCAGATGACCAAGAAGATGGACCTCCGGAGCTCATGTTCATTCACGGAGGTATGTCATAATTGCACGTGACCCTGCTCAGATCATGATACTCAGTTGCTCCAGGCCATACCGCACGTCCCACAGACTTTTGCTGGGCACCAGGAAAATCTGAGAACTGGACTGTATCTACCACTTCAGAAGATAACGTGGTAATGGTCTGGCAACCCACCATGCGCATCTGGGCTGGCGACGAAGTCAAGATCGATGAGAAAGAACTCGAAGGCGACGCTATGGAGGGCGTCGAAATCACTCCTGAAGCTGGTCCTTCCAAAGTGACAGCAGCCAGTGGCGGCAACAGTGCGCGCAGCCAAAGTATGAGCATCAGCGCGAGTGTTAGCAACTCTGGTGTGGATGTGGAAGTAGAGGACAGTTGAGTATTCGGTGTGAATGGAGACGGAGGAATGATGATGGAATCCAAAGCTGATCATGATGAATACAATATTTGTAACGTGTGCCCTTCCAAGAATCCTAGCTGCGGACTGCATGAAGTAGTGTGTTATGTATATATTCCTCGTGAGAGTGTCCGCGCATTACAGGAATAACAATCTGGCGAGCTCAAATAACACTGCAGCATTGTCAGATTCAGAATGAGCGCGCTGAGACAGGTTGTACTCACCACCGCCTATAACAACAAACAGGATGACGCCCAGAGCCCAAAGGTTGATTGGACTTCTTTTCGCCAACATCTCCTGGTGTGAAGGCTTCACTGCTTTCTTGCCCGACCGAACTGCGTTAGCAAATTGAGCATTCTTCCTTCGCAGGTCAAACTCAGTAGGCTAGATGAGCACGTTGAGTCAGGATCAACATGATGAAATGGTTTCAATGCAAGTACCATTGGTTTAAAGTTTTAAAAAGACGAAAGAGTGGTGTGGCGCTCGGAGAGGAGAATAAGTATGAACAGCTGTATGTGTGACGTTGATAACAACCAATAAAGTCTAAAGTACGTGTCAGTCCGAAAAGGGAAATGGTTGTTTGGCAAAAGCTTGGGATCTAAACAACCATATCTTCCTGGACCACATTACCCATTTTTTATATCTTGCAAGCCTTGTGAATCTATTTATCAGGTTGCATGCAACTAAATTATGCACAGAATGAAGGCTGCAGATTTTTACCATAAATTAATTATCATTCAATCACTCTTTTTTTTCCTCCACTATTATCAGATGGAAAAATTGAGGTAGCACCCAGCTAACCTCTTTCCCAAGTAATGTCCCAAGAACAACACAAGATGCAACCCCATATTCTCTTGCAGACAATCTGATCTGGCTGGAGGCTGGAGGGAGAGTATCTAGCATTTCACAGGTACTAGTAATTGTGCTCAACACTATGCCATTCCGAAAAATTAGTCGTGATGTCAAACTCGCAGCTGTCAAGCTTCACAAACAGAACAGTATTACTGTACCAGTATACTGCCATCTCTTGGAAAAATACTCGACTATGTTGGCTTGTTGGAAAGCACATTTTGGTGCATGCTGTTTCATTGTCTGGAGTCTGGACTTGTATCCATTGGGACAGTTGGAGTTGTTTTATGTTTGGTTTCGACAGCAGTATCAGAAAGTTTATCGAAGATGGAAGGCATATCATTAAAGATATGATAATAATCAGTTATGAGCTACTAGCCTAGGGAGCAATTGCAGCTTTATTTCCTAATGGGGTCGACACGGCCCGGTACAAACCTTGCGCAAGACAGAGCCGGCCAGTGCCTCTGAGATCCATAGCTGATTCCATTTTCATACTTTGACTAACAGAGTCATGGGGCACAAAAAGAAAACATCCTTAAAAACAACGTTGCAATCCCAGCAGATTCGGCTCAAGAATAAAGAGAAAGCCGCGCATGCCGCTGAAGCTGCAGAACTCAAGACGAAGCATAAAGGCAAGGGGAAAGCGCCAGCTCTCCGACCTACCATCCCGTTCACGCCTACCGATAAAATACTTTTGATCGGCGAGGGCAATTTCTCGTTTGCGCATGCCCTGGTCATCGATCCTCCTTTGTCACTAGAACATCTCCCACCATCGAATATCACGGCGACTTCTTATGATTCCGAGGAGGAATGTTATGATAAATATCCTGATGCGAAAAGTAAGGTGGATGTTCTCCTGGAGCGTGGTGCAGAGGTTCTCTTTGGTGTAGATGGGACCAGACTCGAAAAGTGTAATGCTTTGAAAAAGAGGCTGTTTGATCGTGTCGTGTTCAACTTTCCTCATGCAGGTATGTTTTATCGAGATCATATAAACGAAATACCGTAACTGAGGAGACATCGTGAAGGAAAGGGTATAACAGACCAAGACAGAAATATACTATCTAACCAGATGCTTATCCTGGGGTTCCTCCGTTCTGCTGTTAGCTGCCTTGCAGAAGGCACCATTCCAACGCCTAATCAGTCACAAAAACCGAAGAAACCTGCGGATGACGATGACGATGACGATGACAACATAAATGACGATGAGGATATAGATGCCCCATCGCCTTCTACAACGCAGCGCGCGAGGGGGACAGTGCTCATCACCCTGCGCAACGTTCCACCATACACCAACTGGCAAGTGCACTTTTCATATCATTAATTGCCTGTTGCTTATGTTCACCTGTAGGGACGTGCCAAGATTGGCAAAGACACCTCCGAAACCTGCATCATTAGGAACTCCGCCGAACCCAAATTATAAGCTTCTGCGTTCGTTTGTATTTCACAGGAAGATGTGGAAGGGGTACGAACACCGCATGACAAAAGGCGAAAGAGCTCATGGTCAGGGTACAACAGGCGAGGGAGGAGAGGATCGGACGTGGGAGTTTTGCCTCAAAGACTGATATTAACCTTCTTCTATGAAAGTGCGTGGTGTGCATGTGAACTATGAAGGCCAGCCGACAAACGAAGGTGCAGCGATATTTGAGTGTATGCTATGATGAAGCTTCCGCACTTTGACTCTCTTCCAGACCCTTCTTCAAGCCTTCCAGTGTTCTCGCAAGTTTCCCTCCGCTTGCCTCACTGAGAATTGCAGCTAACTGTACAGCTGGTGAGCTCAGCAACCCAACTATCTGCGCCCGCAGTGTGTCTAGGGTTGGCAGTTTCGATACATCCCGCACACTATCCATTCCAAATACCCGCCTCTCGATAAGAGCACCCATCACCACCAGTTCCGGGGTCAAGATGGGTTTCACCCGCTGCATCTTTCTGCCAGGAATAAAATTTGGGTCATCTTGAGGTTTGATAGGTGTTGGCTGTGCCAACCCTGGTTTCTTGGAAGGTACTGAACGATCAAGAGCACGGAGGATGGCGTCAAGTTGGGGAGGGTTAAATGATGGTAGCGTTAGGACAGCAAGACCGCCTTTAAGCAGTCCTGCAATTTGATCTGCCTGTTCCGCGTCAAAAGGCGCAAAGTCTCGTAATGCAACGCCAAAAAGTGAGGTCCGCATCACGGCTAGCGTAGGAGCACCGATTTCAACTGGAGAAGGTATCGGAGAGGATAATGAAACTGAAAACTTGGTGTTTGCATCGGCTATATCCCGTCTCAGCTTTTGTAGCCGCTGAGCTGCGAAATTTGTGTGTTGGAGGAATATTATGGGGGAATTATCGCTAGCTTCGAGCATGCGGGTGTATTGGTTGTATAAGAATGTTTTCTGCACACCGTAGCGACGCGGTGTCGGTTTGGCCTCGTAGACGCGAGGAGGCTTTACGGACACGACGTATCCTCGAGCCATTTGCGGTATTGATGAAGAAACAATGGGCTTCACGCAAATCATGGCTAACGTCCGTCTGGAGTAGATTCAGTCGATTCTCGAAGCAGACTTGAATATTTTGTAGTTCTTGCAGTCACGTGGCTATAAGGCACAGCGCGTGACACATCTCGTCACAAAGTCACGATCTCAACCGGTGTTCTCTTTGACTTCGAGGTCGTTAACTTTTTGGGCCTTTGAGAGGTTGCTAAAATCGTTGTAATGTTAGTTCATCCCATGAGGTTGCAAGCAAATAATTAACATGCACCTCGCTAGGGACGACGACGATGCATTCCTATATGGCGAGCCCAGTTTTCAAGCAGAGGCGCCAAAGGCAGATTTAGCAACAAATTCTGGTGAGAACAACTGAGACTCTTCCCAGAGTCTCTACTTTCTGTATTTATCGTGCAACATGAACTTATCTTTTGTTGCCTGATGTGCGATTAGTGGTACAAGCGTAAGTCATCAATAGTGCGTGAAACTGTCGTTGTTGAATACTCCTTGTTGCAGAATATCATTTGAAGCTGTGAAGGCAGTTTCAAATGGCGTGGTCAAGGACCTCGAAGCCAAGGCCGAAGAAGAAGAAGAAGAACCGCCCTTTGGTCTGGGTGCGGACGAGTCTGAAACTGGGGATGATAATGCTGCAGGGGAGGAAGAGTCTAGTGACGAAGATGTACGCGAAGCATGAATCTACCGGGCTCTGACAACTAATGGCCCTTCAGGACATTGAGATCATCATGGACCAACCTATACGGTCTATAGACAACCGGTGAGTTCCACGTTGGATTGAGTCGCTTCACCCTCAACTTGTTTCAGGCCAAATGTTCCTCCTCGGGCTCCCGCTTTAAACCGTTCCACAGGTGGTCCGCAGTCCACTCCCAGCAGACGTTCGTTTATTCAATCGTCTCTTCTCTCATGAAAATTGACGCCTCCCAAAGCGCCTCCCACACACTCACAGTTAACCACCGAGTACACACCTCGTGACAGAAATGTACCACCTTCAAAAGCACCTCCTGTTCATTCAGCAGGCACATCTCAAACACCCTCTGTGCCTCGAGAGTCGGTCTCTACTGCACCAGAACAGCTGGTGTTTCATGAAGGTCTGGACCCTTCAACTCTTCCTCCTGCTATCGCACCACCTTCACACCCTTCTATAAATCCGGATATGCCTGGCATCCTTGATGGCCACTCGATACTTGAAGTTGACATTAGCGCAATGGCAGAAAAGCAGTGGCGACTTCCTGGGGCTGATATCAGCGACTGGTTCAACTATGGATTCGATGAAATCTCTTGGGAAGCATACTGCTACAGAAGACGGGACTTGGGCGAACTTGCAAATGTCCTCAAGACTAACGTACTCGTACGCTATGTAGTGCCTCGTTTGATCCATAGTCCTTACTTTCCCCCCTAGAATTTCGCAGCTATGCCAGAAGACCAACTAATAGCCTTACCCCCTGAACTCCGCACGATGGTCATGACGGGCGCCAACGCTATGATGAACACTGCCAGCCAGGGTATGATGGGACCAAGCGTCGGGATGAATCCCATGATGGAGATGCCTGGCATGGGACCTATGAACATGGGACCGATGGGCATGGGCATGAATGGCGATATGGGCATGCAGATGCAGCCGGGGGGCCCGTTGATGCCAGATGGCCCCGTCTCCGGCCAGGGTCCGGTAGGGCAGAACGGCACGCCGGAGCAGGGTGTGCAGATGGGCATGCAGGATGGCTTCGGGCCGGGGATGATGGGCATGGGTGGTGACTTCGGTATGCAGGTATGGGTTAACCCTTCTTACTCTAGATACGTACAGCCAATGATATGAACATCGCATGAATGTGTTTGTTTTTCTAAGCAGGAGCAAGGGCCGATGGGACAGCCTATGTATCCCAACATGGAGAGCAGTGCGACACCAGCTCCAGTCTCTGTGCAGACGCCGGTGCCTACACCAGCTCCTACAGCGCCTGCGCACATGGGCCGTGGGGCACCCCCGGCACAATTCAGAGGTCGTGCAATGGCTCAAGGCCTACGCGGGAGGGGAGGCTTTGCTGGACGGGGACGAGGAGGATATGGCGGAGGTGGGATTATCTGATACGGTTATTCCCGGTGAATTAACTATCATTGTAGCTCCAGTAGGACCTGTCCGCCCAGCCTCGCCGTTACCGCCCGGCGTGCCAACCGGTCCCCGTAACCAGAACAGGTATAAAGATAGAGATAACAATGCACCTGCAGTCGAAGGTCTTGACTATGGAGGCACAATAAAGGATGTCGGAGGAAGGACGCCGTCAGGGGAGCCAGAAGACCGCCTTGGCCGGTGAGTGGACTTTGCATTCATTCATGACCTCAACGCTCATATCTCTTGCAGGAAGCGGCGCCTTTCACCAGGTTTGGATGACACTCGAGGATCTAAAAGGCGCTGAGATGCGCACATATGTATACGCTCTCATTATTGTATCTCACTCTTGACATTGTGCATGCTGTTAATGCTGACGTGGAATTTGTTGTTAACATTAGTCGTAAGCCGAAGATGGAATTCGAAGACGAGTGACAATAAGTGACTTCTACATACGGAGCGTTTGATCCCGGAACCAATTCGCGTTAACATTCGATGAAATCGTAGGCGACACGTCCGGCGCACGTCGTTCACTCGACATCATCTACAAGGTAACAGATGAGTCAACAACGCAGTAGACTCCTCACGTTCTCGAAGATCCTGATGAGCGTATCCAACATGCCTTCCTATCATCACGCTACATGTTCGTCGACGGATTCAACGACATCATTCTCGAAGCACTGCCGGAAGACTATGGTGAGTTTGTTATCATGCCCGTTCGCGCACTAATTCGAACAAAAACAGGATCTTACTTCAGCTGAAACGTATTGAGCAGATCAAGCGCCCTGAGCTGGTGCGTCCCACACCTCCGAATACACCTCTGCATCGCCTAGACCTGAAGGACAACGCGATATGCGCAGTGCAACGAAATATGTCATTGGAGAAGGGGTTATTACGAAATGCGTCACTGCTCTGCACCAACGGTTTGTCGAAGTGCAGATACCACAGACACGCGAAGCGCACTGTCTCCATCGCATCACTTTTAATCCCATGCGCTCGAGTTGGACCATCAACCACAAACAATTTCCACGACCTTGCACATGCGATGACGTTCAACAACTGTCCAAAGACTCACACTCCCATGTGCTGTACTCAACCTTCGTACACATGCATTCGCGCACGAACTCTACACAGCGCTGTCCAGTGCGAGAAATTGGCGCGTCATTCGCGTGTGCTTTTCGGGAACGATTGAAGGAAGAGAACCGGGGAGCGTAGTTCACTCTTCATTAATATTCCAAGAGGATGACCATATACACGACTGAGCCGTCCGCAGGCGAGCGGATCGTTTGTATAATTTATAGTACAAAGCTGGAGCCTATCAAACTTCCCATGAAACTTACAACCATTCCTTGTTCCCTTTATGTGAGATGAATGCGCCAGTGTCATTGACGGTGATCAAATTGATGACCTCAAGCTGCATTCGGACAGATGTTTCTGGCGTAATCGACCCCGTGAAATCGGGGAAGAGCTTTTTAAATTTCCCAATCATTGCCATAAACTCTTGCAGTTCCTTGTCAGTGGCTAATATTAGCAGTGATCAGCTTCGGGTAACTTAGAGGATACTGCGAAAACATACGGGCCCTGGTGCTAGTGTCCACAAGTCCTGGGCTAAGCGCCAAGAAGACAAAGCCCTCTGGCTTGTATTGAGCGGCATATTTGGCATTAACCATATTAACTGCGGCTTTCGAGATGGAGTATGGCGCAGAGTTGGAGAATTCAGCGACCATCGTCACATCAAGATCTCCCAATCCGCTAGTGATAGTGATGACCTTCTTTGCTTTCCCGTTCTTGAGTAGCGGAAGGAATATGTTGATGGTGTGGATGACACCGACGACGTTGACGTTGAACTACAGAGGTACATTAGCTTTGACTGTCTTCGCATGCGGATAGCTGCATACCGAATCCAGGAGATCCTTGGTAAGCAACTCCTCTGAGGAACTAAATGGGACTTAGTGCCATTCCAAGAACGCAAAGTAAACCAAAAAAATCATACTAAGAATCGAGAGTCAAACCAGCTCTCTCAGACTCTACGAAGCCAGCGTTATTAATCAAGTAGTCGAGCGAGTTGCCTGTTGACCGAGAAATCTCTGCAGCAGCATACTAGACAAAGCGTCAATCGAGCCCCTACCCGAGGTGTCAGACACCCCACCTTCAGAGCCTTGTTGTCAGTGATATCAGCCTGGATAATATGGATATTATGCCTTCCTAGGTCCGTAAGCTTGTTCGCAGTGGCCTCGCTGCGTACAAGGGCGAAAATGGTGTTCCTAGAATCAGCAGAGAGTTGATTGACAAATTCAAACTGGTCAAAATCAAAAGTCGTCAGAAACGTAGTATCATGGCTCAATCAAGCTGCACGTACGCCAATCCCCCGAGCTGCCCCTGTTATGGCGTATGATGGCATCTGTCAACAACACCCTAAGTTAGACCTGAGAGTTTCGACGGAGATCCAGAAGGAAGAAACAAGTAGATTTTGCTGTGGTGGTAGAATAGATAAGTGGTTTTGAATTAATGACAGCAAAGAATTGCGATGTGAGTTGAAGAGATAGAAGGTGGCGAATTTATATCCTGAACTAGTGTCACTGGTCTATCAACAGACATCCGGAATGAAATCCTTTGTCTGTATGTCAGCAGCTGAGTCAGGGGCCACGCCCTCGGGAGTCGGAAATACCCATTAATAATCGCGACTTGATCTGAGTTCATTCAACTAGTGCAACGTCCTGACAAAGACATCGATGCATCACCTCTAGCCTCGAAGTTTTAAGTCCGTGGTTTGCGTAAGATGGTGGAGCTAATTATAGACAGCAAACATAAATGACCAAGCCAGAGGTGAAGTGGGCACTGGTGGAAGAACAAACCAAAACTCGCTATCCGTTGTTAGCAGCTTTGCCCCCTGACCGCGTGCCGCCGCCGCCTCCGCCACCCGAACGCTTCTTGTTTGCCCTCGACCCACGTTTCGCATTTTTCTTCTGCCTGCAAGCTTCGCAGAACCATGTTCCGTCTGGAGGCACCGTGAGGCCAATGCATGCAAGATGAAACTGCAGAGTTGATGAATATACCGTGTCAGGACAAAGAGAGATGTGACGCACCCATTCTCTTTCACAATTCACGTCGTCGCATGCGATCATTTCTCCATAGCTTATGCCCTCGCAGAAGCAATAAGTCCTATCATCTCCCTCTCCATCACCTTCGCCAACTTCGGTAGCCGTGTCTGCGGCGTTACCAGCTTGAGTTTCACTTGGAGATACGAGCGGGAGACTATGGGTTAGGACGGTAGCAGAACTGATCGATAGACCGAGGTGTGTGTTCCGTGCTACAGGCATGCCTGGACCTTCGAGTTGCCCAAGAGGAGGGACTCCCCAGTCATTGGCAAGTGTGTGAGCACCAGGCATATCATAAGAGTGTAAACCAGTTGATCCGTAAGGTATAGGTAATGAAGGGTGAGAAACTGATGAAGGTGGTGCGGGGCAGATGTCACGTCGGCCATTGACAGATCCATTGACATGCGGCTCGTCATATGTGTTAGGGTTTGGCTTGGAACGTCTACCGGAGGGATTGGTAGCGCGACTCGATGAACCACCAGCTCTTGAGTTCCCTGTATAGGTTTGAGATACTGGTGCTACAGTGTGCGAGATGACAGAAAGAACGGATTCTGTGGGAGAGGCAGCACGTTCTTGCCTAAAGCGACATCTAAACACGACGAATTCATATACCGGAAAATGACTTACTTTCGTGAACGAACACCATTTCGAGATCGTTGGGCAGTGCCATCCCCAGTCCTCTCCTTGCGCGGCGACTTGCCGCCTCCGACATCTACGTCATCTTCTCTCGTTGCTCGTTTTCGTTTGGAAGGGCTGGCTTCATGATTTGCAGTATTCATGATCGATCCATAATTGCCTCTTCTGCGACGCGAGTTATCGATGGTGGGCATGTATGACCGAACAGCAACATGGGGGTAAGATGTCTTGCGGTTCAATGCGGATACATCGAATGAAGGTAAGAGAGTAAGGAGTGTTCTCATATGTGAAGTGTGGCTTTTGAGGTTGTCAGCGGCTTGACAAGCCACACGAATCTTGTCTTCGCCGCCCAGTTTCAAACGGGCAGCTTCCTCTGCTATATCTGTGAGTAGGAAAAGACGGTCCTGCTTTGCCACTGTGCCATCTTCGATCATCTGTGTCAAGTTTTGTATTTTTGCGGTGATAGATGTCATAGAGGACGATAAAACTGCGTCGAGTTCACGGAGGTCTGCAAAGTTACGAGAGAGGTCGAGTGGGAGGGAGTCAAGAGTGTGAGTGTACTCTGAAAGTAATGAGAGCGCGTATACGTTGTTGACATTACTTTCTTGTGATATTGGTGCTCTCGAGGGTGCCATGATGGAGGTCGCTGTCTCTAGAAGTGAAGACTATTTTGAAGTTGGGTGAAATTGTGATCTACTCTGCGTTGACTAGCGGCATTTGCCGGTCCGTTGTTTAAAATGCCGCTTTTGAATCTGAATCGCCGGCAAGTCCGTCAATCGACGATATAGTCTCAACTTTAGAATGATAGGGGAGGGATAAATTCATGGCATCCAGAATGAAACAATAGAGATACAATATGTGCGTTCTATGCGATGATACAAGGATTTCAAGGAGAAATAAGTGTTATAATTGAACGAAGTGGGTGATCTGCACTGCAAGTACCTATTTTTACGCGCTCCGCCCCTCATCTCCTTGGCCATAACCGTCTTGCTCCAATGCTATCGATACAATGGTTTGGGGTACACGTGACCCTTCGAGATGTATACAGTTGACAATCATGACAATGAGAAAGTATCACTTTCTGTAGAACTTCATCAGCGGGTTCGAGCTCCCGCCATTGCTCTGCCTGGGCTGGCTGCTTGATTGGAAGCCCATGGATGAGCCCAGAGCCGAGTACATGTTATGTGAGTCACGCGGGTTCCCCTGCATAGCAGAGAATGCGTGTGGGGCAGAGGGTGCAGTGGGGAAGAAGCCGAAGGTTGGTGATCTGGGTGGAGTGGTGTAGTTGTTATAGCGAGACATTATGTGCGTGAATGTGATATTATAGCACGGAAAATGATTGGTCTGCCCGTGACGACGCGGATGGTTATGGGAGAGATCTGCTTTGCAAATATGTCACAGTGTACAGATGGTGGACCCTCGATCGATGTCAACGGCGGTTTGTTCAAGAACGTATGCGTTAAACAATCGTTGCTTGGAAGAATGTCTTCTTGAGGTCGTTATAAGGTTATTGGACCAAACTGGTCGTGTTGATACGAGTAAGAACTCGCGCATAGCTATTATATACCAAAGCAGGGATGTTCAAGGAGAAGGAGACCCATACCTGGACTGCCGCAAAATACAAGGTAGCAACCGAAATAGGCAATGGTATTGTCCCCATTCGGAAGAAACCCGTTGCAGTATGAGAGGGAAATAATTCGGGTAACTGCCTATTGCGGCACAAAGAAATGATTCATATGACCCGGATAAAGCGATCTATGCCAGACAGCTATATGTAGACCCACGATGCTCACGCAACGGCGACCTGCGGTGACGCACACTCCCCCACATGCATGCTCAGGCTTGATTGGCACGGAGCATACCAGCTCGGCCTCGCTTCCCGATCTCAAAACGAATAGTTTCAAGTATTGTTTGAACCCCATCCGTTGTTTGCCAGATGAATTGTACAGACAGGAGCTTGCAGGTCCGTACTGTTTTCCTCCTCCACCAACGTGGGAGTCGGAGAGCGCTTGACAGAAATTCACATGTTATCGGGGGACATCGAATGTATACGCCGCTTCAAAACATGACTTGACGTGTAAGAATTAGTTTATGAATCATTACTCTGGACTCTGTTGTCGTGCGAGCCTGCGTCCACTTGAGCACAATGGTTTCATATATCATTGATGTACAACGTGTTGATGCTCGAGGGACTTACAGCGATTTTTCCACAGGTTTCTGCCTATCGGCTCTGTGTGGTCACTGGTCTTGGTACAGATTCCTCTATGTCAGCTTCTCCGTACATGCTTGATAATCAATCCATCATTTCTGCAGATATCGACCACGCCATACGGGACTCTAGTCCTGTGCCCACTTTACGTGCTCTCCGAGGTAGTCATCATGACCACCGATCTTACTAGTGAGCTCCTCGGAACTGCAGCAGGTTTCTATCTTCTTTTTCCAGTGCTTCCACTCTAGGCTTGTGTTCTGATAATTGGAGCTGATGCCTGATTGATACTAGCCCTAGCAACCCTTTTCGTGATAGATCAGTGCCGAAGGTTCTCGGAATGGATCATTACTGCATTTGTAAGCTTGCGCACTGCATAGTATTTCAATGGGGCAAATCTAGGTACTTGCTGTGCTCATCTGCATTACAATCATTAATCACGAACCTCGATATCGTCTGGGGTGAAGCCTTCGATGAATTCGTTCTTTGTCAATGCTGCGCTTTGTACCTGTATCGCATAAATGCTGACATGACTTTGACATCGTAGCCGCATTGGAGCGCTCAGCGGGCGTTACTGTCATGTCTTAGGCTATTCTTGGGTCCATATCTCGCAACCCAAGATAGGCTATCCAAAAAAATCATTTGCACGGGCCCCTGTCTCTCCGAGGGTCCAGACCAAGGGTCGTATCAGTGCACAAGCGCCTACGATACTTGGGGGTCGAGTAAGGAGAATTTAATGCCCGTCCGAGGTCTCATGAACATTTGGAAAATAATATCTCAAGATTGATGCATACCATAACATGTGGTCTGAAGCCTTCTAGGCTTCACCTTCATAATCAGTGCGCTACCATCGAGGCCCACACTCTTCTAAAGCATTATAATCCTAGCTAATGCCGCCATTCACTATGGACCAAGTGGTGATAGTCTCTTGCTTATCACGAGTCAAGTCATCTTATCAATAGTCCTCTCATTCATCACGTTTCCGTTGACATACTTCACCTCGTCGTTCCGTATCGTGTGAGTGGCACTGAGTGCGTAAACCATTCTCAAGCCGCAAGGATACTAATCCAATCGACAGCTTCCTCTTTCCCTGCGGTGCATTCTGACCCGGATATAGGACTGTGTCCAGCAGCCTGAGCTCATGACGAGTCACCTAGGTGTCTGATACATACAGCTTGTTAATGTGGTAGCTAATGTTGTTTATGTGCTTGCAACTTTTAGTTATGGGACAAGATGTACGAGCTTAGCATAATGGTAGTTCATTAAATTATGGAATGGCTCTTGTGCCCAGATCTGTAGATCTGTATGTACACATGATACTCTATGAGATTCAGTACAAAAATTTCTATACATTATCCTGCGGCTTGCGGGTTGGTGTGATTTTTGACACGAATGATTATCGTTCGTTGCAACTATTATTATATTACCTACGAGAAAGGAGCGAAGTTGTGAAACCCTAACCTTAGTCTAGGTGCAACACCAAAAACGCGCAGTGGCGGCTTCCTGATCAACGAGTCAACGTCGAATGGTTCAATCTGGGGTTCAATCAGTTCACCAATCCTGGCCAAGATCCTTCCATTCAGAGTGTGCGGAGTTGGATCGTCTTCGATAAAAGCTATTCTGCTTACAAAATCGAGACCCTTCAACACTACTGGTTCACCGGGCCAGTCTTGCAACAGTGCCCCAGCCAACAGTATGCCTAAAGCTCAGAAAACAGCATATTATGCCGTGCGCAAAGGACGCACGCCGGGTGTCTATCCAACATGGTCAGTAGACTGCACGATATGCTCATCCTGTGCTCAGCTTTCTTCCTGAAGGGAAGAATGCGAGGCCCAAGTGAAAAACTTTCATGGTGCTGTCTACAAGAAGCTCGCCACCGAGACGGAAGCCCTCGCATTTATGACCACAGAATCGCATCTCAACCCTCCTTCTTCAAGACTGTCCTCGTCTGCGGTATTGCCTCCTGCCATAAGTCCGCCGCGGAGTGTGGCGTCAACATCGTCGACATTCCGCCCTTCTGCTGCTGCTGCTGCTCTTGCGAATGTCAAAGAAGACGAGCCTGGCTATGATGTTGTCTATTCTGATGGTGCATGTAAAGGAAACGGACAGGTTGGTTCGGTTGCGGGTGTGGGTGTGTGGTGGGGTTGGAACGATCCTAGGCGAGAAATATCATCTGGGCAATGACACATGACACTCATCGTTACTTCAGAAATATCGCCGAACGATGTCCTGGAGACCAAACAAATAATAGGGCGGAGCTCATTGCAAGTCATATTCAATATGTTTGACAAGATACTTCGCTTACTCGCAACGATTTTGCAGGCAATCGTTCGGACATTGGAGACCGCGCCATTCTCTCAGCGTCCTCTCATGATAAAAACAGACTCAATGTATTCCATACAATGTATGACATGTTGATCTATGTGTTGTATTCCTCTCATCCTGTTGCAGGCTTTGAATCCTGGCTTCCAAAGTGGAGCGCAAACGGCTTTCGAACGGCCAACGGCCAGTCCGTCAAGAACGCCGAACTGATCAGGTACTTGGCAGCATTGCTATATGCCCGGGAACAGGCAGGACCAAAAATCGTGTTCAAGCATGTCAGAGGTCACGTTGGAATCGAAGGCAACGAGTGCGCCGACCGATTAGCTAACGATGGTACTCTACAACCAGAGCTGCCGGAACGGGATTGGGAGCAGCTAACCCGTGACTTGAAAAAGAAGCCAAGGACGTCGAGGACGGTACCTGAGCCAGTCAAGGTAACTGGCAAGCTAGTCGCATAGTATGACGTGGCTAAGCCAATCCCATTGAAGTCGGACACATCTACGTCACGACAAGCCACTGTCATATCTAGCGGTTCCTCTAGCAGGCTTCCACAGCCATCCAATGATGCATTTCCTCCAGGAGAACATACACCCAAGCCAGGGTTGCTCAGCCAAGCAGAACTAGACGTCAGTAATTACAATTTCAGGGCTTTCGATGCGCTCACGAGTAATAACGTGTTCAGGCCTATGCAAGTTGCCTTCTTGAAACGGATGACTTGGAATCGGATTTAGGCTGAACCTTAGGAGCCTTGGCCAAGCCTTGGCTACGTCGGAGTTTGTCTTATGACACGGGATTCTATGAACTTCTATCGGCGCCTAACCATGGTTTATATACATATGGGACACGCTACCCAGCTATGAATAAACCCATCAAGGGCTTTGACCGCTACGGTACACGAAACTTCCCAAGCGTTTGAATAGCCAATGGCCAACTCTTGAAATCCATTGAACCAGACTTGAATTTGCCACGATGTGACCCTATATAATGACATATGATAATACTTAATAAAGTGACTCAAATCTTTCCTATATTCTCATCACTTTCCGTGACTACCGCGGCACGTTCAAGCATCGTGTGCCAAAGGACTCGACTCCGTAGTCTATGATCCCAATTGTTTTACCTTCATGACGACTGCTCCGAATCAAACCAACCTCGATCTTCCACCTGTGGATGGGACCACGACTGTTACTAAAAAGCACTGGATAGATCGTCTGCATAATGCAGGATGGACAGTATTTCGTCACGCACAGAAACACACAGGCGTAGGCATCGTGTGCTCCGTCGCATACTTTGACCCGTAAGTCATTCTACTGATCGGGTAACTGGCACGATCTCACTGAAGCTGAATCGAAGTGGCAATTGGGGAGTCGATCTTCAGGCAGGATCTCAATACGGGTATAGCCTTCTCTTCGTTGTACTTTTGTCAGGCTTGTTCGCTGCATTTCTTCAAGTGAGTAGGATGTTTGACGTAGCGATCGTGCAAGCGACTTACCGCAAATTTCACAGGTTCTTGCCTGTCGGCTTGGAGTGGTCACTGGCCTTGGTAAATACTTCTCCATGTCAGTTTTCCTGGAAGATAGACATGTTTATTGACACGTCATTGTCAGACCTCGCATCCCATTGCCGCATGCTCTTTTACGATCGACCACGTCATAAGAAACTTTGGCGATGGGGAGTCCTTTACCCGCTTTACGTGCTCTCCGAATTAGCCATCGTCAGTACCGATCTTGCTGAGCTCCTTGGCTCCGCAATAGCACTCTCTCTTCTCTTTCCAGCGCTTCCACTCTGGGCTGGTGTTCTGGTAACAGGCGCCGATGTCTTATTGGTACTTGGCCTTGGAAACCCTCTTCATGCTAGGCCAGCAAAAGTATTTGAATGGATCATCGCTGTGCTTGTAAGCCCTCATACACGTGTATACCATACCTCGTTTGGTTTAATGAGACGAGTCTAGGTGTTTGCTGTGCTGATATGCATGGCAGTGATCATCGGGAAGATCAATGTCGCCTGGGGTCAAGCCTTCGATGGATTCGTTCCTTCTCAGACAATTTTTGCTAGCGGCGCTCTCTATACATGTACGTCATAAAATGCAAGTGTGCGGATAAGAGTTGACATGGCTTCCTTGTAGCCGTTGGGATCCTGGGTGCTACTGTCATGCCCCATAGTCTATTCTTGGGTTCACATCTGGCAACCCAAGATAGACTATGCAAAAATCCGCTTGTCCCAGATTCTCCGCTTTCCGACAAAGTGCGAGAAATAGAGCGAATAGAGGTCGCACCAAGGCGCGAGCGCTTACAATACTTAGGACAAGCGATCTGGCGACAACTCCGGTCGTGGTTTGTAGTATCTCACGCCGAGTTAGAGGCGTTGAATGCCCGTCCAAAGTCTCATAAACATAGAGAGAATAATCCCTTAGAGTTTGTACGTTCCCATCTGTACCACGCCATGGTCGATGTGGTATCCAGTCTGCTAGGCTTCGCCGTCATAATCAATGCCCTGTAAGCTCCTAGCATTGCTTGCTACCATCGAGGCTAACAACTATTTCAAAGTATACTAATCCTCGCCAGTGCAGTCTTCTATTACGGATCAGGAGCGCGTGGATCTGAATCTCCAGCTAGCTTATTCGATGCCCACACTCTGATAAACAACACGATTGGCCAAGGTATGTCACATCCTTCGGGTCCTGTAAGCTTTACAAATCCCTGTAAATAGCTGCTGCGTTACTCTTTGCGCTCGCTTTACTGGCATCGGGCCAAAGTGCTTCTCTTGTCGCCACCGTAGCAGGGCAAAGCATTTCAGAAGGATTCCTGAACTGGAAAGTCTCGGTCAGCTCTATCCTTTGTTGTGATGAGAATCATCACTCACTGATACGACAGCCTGTTGTACGCCGCCTTCTAACGCGTATGCTAGGACTGATACCTTCTATGATTGTTGCCATCGTCGTGGGACCAAACGGCGTCGACTCCTTGCTTGTTATAAGTCAAGTCATCCTGTCGATAATCCTCCCATTCATCATATTCCCGCTGATATACCTTACCTCATCGTCGCGCATCATGCGAGTACACAAAACGGCTCCAGAACACACGGACATTAGTCCTCCTGCGGAAGCTTCCTTCTTGCCTGCTCTCACATCCTTGGATGGTGACCCGGAGATAATTCAGACTGAGGACTTCGTGGACTTCAGCAGCGGGAAGTTCATGGCGTCGGTCGGGTGGTTGATATGGTTAGTGATTGTGGTAGCTAATGTCTACGTGCTTGTAACTCTAGGCATGGGGCAAGGTAGCTGAGCTCAGTCACAAACCGTGTGCGTGACGAGAGATGTGCCTCTGTGCCTATCTAGCTATACACCTCAAAGCTTTCATCCCCATGTGTGTTCTGCGTATTAGCAGTCATGTATACTTCCCTACGACATAACAATTAAACCCTATGGGTTTGTGTGTATTTTATCCTACTGGCTCTACACCTGTTGTGCCTCGGTTCCTATTTGCATGTTCTAACCTTCCTTGGCTTTGAGTCTTTCCGTTGTCTTTTTGTTTCACTGTCTTCTATCATCCGTCTTCCAATCTCTTTTATCACCTGTCTTCCCATGTTTAATCATCCTAACGCACCCTCAGCCTCTCTTGCTTACCATCCAGCACTGTCATGCACTATTCCCGTGGGGATGTTCTGAGAATCTTGCAACGATACAAATATCAAAGTGAGCGCAAGGAAGTCGGGTACTTTGTTGATCTGAGCTAGGTACAATTGAGTAAACACTATCCATCAAATCTGAGTCGGATGACAATGTCATATCAAATTATGTAACTTCCAACACTGCGGCAGTGACAGCATCGGTGGCGGGATGTGTTTGTCTATGCCACCAGTATTGACTTTGTTGGCTTCATCAGGTTGGCGTCCTCGTGATACGGCAGTCTTTCGAGAAGTAACTCGCCACGTTCCGGGAGCGCAAGTAAATGTAACTGCACAGGCAGCAGCTGAAGTAGAGCGTGTCTGAGCACTATCAGGAGGTCATTTAAATTGTCAACTCTCAGTCTATTCGTAACTACTTTCTACTCACCGGGTTGGCCATCTTGTGGTTGTGACGGAGCTGTTTCGTCATTCTCCATTGAAAACGGCAATTAGAATGTTATTGCATGGGCGAGGCTCTGAAAACGAGTGGGTTGCAAATAACACTGTGATCCATGGTGGCGTAAAACTGTGAGGCCGTACGCATTACACGTAACGGGAAGTCGCAATCCCAGCATAAGTGACAGTCGGGGGACCTGGACCTGTATTCAGGACATCAGTACGAGCCTTTTGACATACTAATGTCTGAATTTACCCAGCAGTTGAGGAGTAACGCTGAGTTTGCACTTGGATGCACTACTTTAGAGTGTCATACCCAGGAACCAGGGACATCATAGATCAAATACGTAGGCATATGCGACGCGTTCGCCGTCGGCACCGCTGAGCACTGAGGAACGATAATCTGCATGTACACAACATAACACGTATCTATACGGCATCTTACGAAAAGTGCAACAAGGAAAAATCGACCTGAAAGAAATAAATGACGCAGAAAAACAGTAACATAAGCACAAGAACAGACAAGCAATAGTTCAAGAAGTTGACGTTTTAGGACCTTTTCTGCGAAGCCTTGATCCCAAGTAGTTAATACAAGTACACATTAGGAATCTTACGGACTCACAAGTATGGCCATTAGTTGTTGGTAATTCGGAGTTCCTGGCTGGGGGGCACCGGGTGGCATACTAGACATGGGAGGTGGGGACATCATGGACTGAGGTGGCGGAGGAGGCATTCCATATTGCGATTGCATTTGTTGAGGGGCAGTGCCTTGACCCTGCTGACCCTGCGACTGTTGTAATAATGCAAGGATATTCGGAGGTAAGCTAGGAATTCCAGTGTGCATCTGCCCTGGCTGAGGAGTGGGTGTCTGAGAAGGCATCTGAGCATATGGGTTAGCACTGGGGCCAGGCGGAGGAGGATAAGGCGCTGCGGGTTGCTGAACGGGGGGTGGTGCATAGTATGAATTTTGGTGTGGGGGTGGAGGGGGCATTCCAAGTGAGCTTGGGGGAGGTGCTGGTGCTGGCGGTCCCTGTTGCATCGTGGGAGGCGGCCCCGTGCCATTCTGGGGCTGTTTCAGTGCTGCAAGCAGTTGTTGAACTTTGCGAGCCTGCTCCAATCGATCTCCTGTACCCTGATGAACTGTCAGCAGTGTGGGACACTTGTAAGAAACAGATACGTACAGGTTGATTGGCTGATGGCGGGGGTTGATGGTACTGAGTGGCCACTGGCGGAGGCTGGTTATACTGAGGGGCTGCTGGCGGGGTTTGATTATACTGAGTGGTTGCTGGCGGGGGCTGGTTGTACTGAGATATTGCTGGTGGGGGCTGGTTATACGTAGCGACGTTCGCCGGCTCGTTATACGAACCAGAACCCGAGCCAAGCCCACTCGAGAAAGGACCGCGGGAATCAAATCTGTCTCCATAGCCACCCCGGCCGCCACCGCCACCACCACGCCCACCACCCCTGTAATCTTCTTCAAAGCGCCCGCGATCACGATCCCTGCCGAAGTCATCACGCCGGTCCCAATCCTCAAATGAGCCACGGCCTCGGCCACCGCCACCGCGACCCCTACCGCGACCGCGACCTCGAAATCCGCGCCCACTATCATCCCAGTCCCGCCCACCGTCAAATTTTTGCTCACGGCTGGCATAGCATGTAAGCACAAAGATGAATAGCATGCGATATCACATACCGCTGAGTAGGAGGACCAGAAATCTCAGACTCCTCCCATGCATACGTGATGTCCATGGTTCCGTCTTGCAACCCTTGGTGTCGGAGACGATCGAACGCCTCGTCGCAAGCCTGAGGGCGGTGAATATTCTTACATAATACCAACATACATCAAAACTGACCCTGATATCATAGAATTCAACATAACGTTGACTGCATAGGCTGATCAGTAAACTAGGCGATTGGAGAAAGATCCAACATACTCAGCGCGATCGCCGACAGGCGTGACCGACTTAACGTCCCCGAACTGTTGAAATTTACGTCTGACCTCATTATCGTCGATAGTCTGAACAGAGTCCTTGAGTGTGACGATTAGATTACCCTGAAATTGCTGAACAAAATTCAGTTGTCATTCGAGAAATGAGCGAGATTGCTACCAACCTGATTCTTGTCACGATCGCCACCTTGCTTTTGGTCATCGCGTGGAAGAGAATAATGAACATCGATCTGAAAGGACGATAATTCCATCGATGATCATCGCAGTGAGGTGCATGAAAGCTTACAGGTCTTCCACTTATCTCAGAACCCTGCAGACGATCTCTGGCGCGCTCAGCTGCGCGGATATCGTACTGAACCGAAGCCTTAGTGATGGCGGAGGGGGTTCCATTTAAAACTTACGAAGGTCACGAAAACCATTCCCCGCGTTGCAATGAGATCGAAAAAGGTTTTGATATCTCCATGCTCTTCGAATGAACGACGGACGTCCTCACTGTTCGTCTCATACTACAAAAGTAGCTCAATATTAGCAAACCAAATCCGTACCAGAACACGTGGAGCTGCCTCCAACTCATTGACTCGCCTTAATGTTGCGTATAAACAAAGTACGACAGGGACGCTCGCGTTGGATTCGCTCTTCAATTATTGAATCGTGGACTTTGTCATCCCGTTCTCGACGCACAGTTCGCCTCTGAGGTCGCATACCAAATCCACCTTCGTCATAGTTGGCGTCGGGTCCTTCTGACAAAGAATCAAATACCAGTGAGATCAAGACCTTGCAACGTGCCAGAAAACCAAGCTGAGGGTAAGGCAGAACAAATAGACGTAGCGCAGCAAATTAGGAGAGGCGGAGATAACTCCAACTCAGCCGAAACATTTGAGCTCCCAATCGTGAAATTCGGACGGCAGATTCCCTGGGAGATCTCAGATTCCATCATCTGCAGTTTTTCTTCCGACTTCACTGCTCTCGCTAAAGAATAGCTTAAGCTCGCGAGTGCGTCTTAATGTCTGAGATGCCTCCATGAGAGGTTTCGCCGTTGGCAATATAAGCCTGTCAATTTTTTTTGTCGCTATAATTTGCATCCCATGCGAAGCTGCGCCGCCAAAGTTCTGCCTATATTGGCTCATTTTCAGTCTTAGCTTCAAGCGCACCTTCATAATTACCATAACCCTGGGCGTAACCATCTGACGGGGTTTGGGTATTGAACTGAGCGGAGGGCATTCCACTACCATAATTACCACTGCCGTTCTGGTAGAAGGGGTCTTGCGAGCCAGAGTCGTAATTATTGTAGAGGCCCATATCGCCTTGAGGCGGCCCTTGATCATAAGTGTTGGAGACACCGCCATCGTAATTGCCAAAGTGACCACCTGGTGCACCTTGGCCGCCTCGGCCACGGCCAAATCCTCTTCCACGAGGTGCCCCACCTCTGTGATGGTAAGATCTATCCGGCCCAGGCCCTGGTGGGCCACCCCTTCTGTTGGCAGGATTTTCGTAAACTCCTCCATAAGGATGATGACGGTTCATTTTCTTTTACTGAGGGTGGAGGGTAAAGCGAGCTGATATGTGAATGCTTAAAGATCCGGTGGAACACGTGTACGGGAAGATAGAGAAAAACTGAAGAATAACTCTGAATAAACTTCTGAAAGTATTGTCTCAACTCAAGAGGAATACGCGGAAAGCGAAAACCAACAGAGGAGCTGTCTGATGATGATGATGGTGGTTCGGGTCGAAGCCGTTGTCAACGTCTAACAAAAATTTCCGCTATGGGTGAGAAAATACACGTAATCGTATCTTCCAAATGCGGATCATCGACGTTGCTCGCAGTCAAAGTCGCCGCTTGTGCTACTTACTCTGTGTTACCCCTCCACGATGTCGAAGCAGTTTCAGTTCAAGCTCGTCCTTCTAGGTAAATAAACGCGGTTTAAAATCTATGAAAACTGAGCTCATAATACTTCTTAAGGCGAGTCGGCCGTCGGGAAATCTAGGTAATGCGGAGCGTCGTTATTATCTCGTGCGCAAGTCTCCAGCTCACTCGCGACAGCTTGGTCCTGAGGTTTGTGAAAGATCAGTTTGACGATTACCGGGAAAGTACGATTGGTGGTATGTACCATTCAAAAATCCATTTTCTTCCACTGAACTCCTGGCCACACAGCCGCGTTCTTGACACAAACAATTACCTTAGAGGACCAGACAACTGTTAAGTTTGAAATATGGTGAGTCGTGTAAATTCCTAGTATCTGCGCACACTCAAATATAGCTCAGGGATACAGCGGGTCAAGAGCGATACAAAGTAAGTTCCCAAATTTGCATATATCACGTATCACGCGAATTAACGACACGGCGTGCCTTCTAGTCTCTTGTATGTTTCATCCTCTTCGTGGAGTTACGTCTGATTTAGAAGATCATAGGCGCCAATGTACTATCGCAACGCAAATTGTGCAGTTGTCGTGTATGACATCACCCAAGCGGCTTCTTTGGAGAAGGCGAAGACATGGATTCGTGAACTGCAACGCCAAGCGGACCCATCGATAGTAATAGCTCTATGCGGCAACAAATTGGATCTCTCCGCACGCAGACAAGTTACGGAGGAGGAGGCGAGTAAATATGCCGATGAAGAAGGTCTTCTGTGGAGCGAGACGAGCGCAAAGACAGGAGAGGGTGTAAACGCCATCTTCAATGCAATTGGTGCGTTCGGTCTTTGATTGGACCGTTGTGCTCTAACTTGATTTGACGCACAGCCAAGAAGCTTCCGTTGACTGCACCGCCCTCAGCCCGTGGTGCTCGCGTTGCAGCATCTGGCGCTCCGCGTCAGAGTGTAGACCTCAACCGGCAGTCAACAGCTCACGGTAGTGAAGCTTGCAATTGCTAGTTTTATGTACAATGCCACACATGCCGTATGGAATTCCCCTTTATCTGACTTAGTCTGTTCCCGCCCTTACTAGCCGTAATCATAACTACTTCAATGCTGAACCTCCCAGGATACATATTCATCGCCGCCGATATCAAGCCAGAAGTCGGGGATATGATCAGCTTGGTATGATGATTCTGTATAAGCCAGTTTCAATGAATGCTCTATGCGGAAAATATGATATGCTACACGTATGGTCTAGGCGAAAAATACAAGCAACTCAAGACCTAGCCCTGAACAGCAGTGATAGGGAAGGTAAGCATTTGGGTATCATAGATATTCAACTTCCCGTGCACCTCCTGTTGAATACGTCAAACGTCTCTTTCACATGTGGACTGTCAAAAGAATGGAAACCAGGCGAATGTTCTCCGTCGATCATAGCGGAAAGGCACGATAATGATTCGTGGTCATTAACGAGCACCGCTAGACGGCGGGGGCGGCGGGGATAAGGCGATAATGGAAGAGAGCGCCCTGAATCAATACTGAAGCATGACAATTGTAGGTCGTCGAGTTTTCCGGGTGGTTTGGGAGAAACTTCGAACACTGGACTGGGTGGAGTGACCGAGGGTTGGAGCATGCTGGGCACCGGAGAAGAAGAAGAACGGGTTAAATCGTGTGGTGGCGGTTCATAATCGGGCAAGCTAAAGAAAGAGTCATAGATTTGGTTGCTCCTTCCTGAATCCTCATGACGCAACTGGTTACTGGGTAGCAACAAAGACTAAATTGAGCATTAGCCATGGCCCATCGTGGATATATCCACCACAGAATGTTCGCCAGCTCACCTTCGTCACATCTGACACAGAACTCAATATGTCCCCGAGTTGTATGCATTCCGAATCAGAGACTGATTCGGAATTTCTCGCATTGCTTTCTTCAGGGTTATGGATCCAGGGGTGGACATCCTCCTGATATGACTCTTCTACGGCTGTTTCTGTGAGACGCTCTACGAAAGAGCTTGGGATCCACCCGAGACGGTCCCCCTCAGGACGCATAGCAGCCCACCATCCTGATTCCTCCATCTTTACAACAGTGAGAATCTCATTGCGGGTGAACGAGAGATGATCTGGATCGTCTGACTCGAAGTCAAACATACATATCACGTTGCAGATGAACCACTCGGGGTCGCCTGTACTGGGCGTCAGACCCGATGTCGTTAAACTGTATTCGGATAAAGGAGAAGGAGAATCAGGGGAGGTCGAATAATGAGCCAGAGGAAGTGAGGAGTCTATCAACACTCGGAGGGGCTGCCGTTGTGGTGGCGAAAACGAGGCCAGCATCGTAGCAGGTGCTGCGGGTTTCGAGAAGAAGAAGACCCTAGATCATGGGGTGTGAGTCTTTCTATGTATGAGTGGCCCAAGTTTGACAATGGGAAGCCGCAATTATCATTAAGGAAGGAGGTACCCTGCGCGAATGACGAGATTTTCAGAAGGACAAGGGATACGATCAACTGCAACCATCATGACATGGATTCCCACTACTTACAGGTGACACGGGCGCTGAAACTGTAGCTGTAGTTATTTGAGGATACCAGGTTACACTTTTGACCCAATGATCGATACCTGCGCATGCGAACCTTGGGTCACATCGCCGAGACAACCGTCAAATCGTCACAGTAGTAACTTGGGACGTGTATGGAAAGTAACCATGTGGTTGTGGTTGGCTGTTGTCCGTCATGATCGCAATTGGAGTGACCTCGGGACAATTAATAATGAACATTGGATACGCTCTGGGGCACGAGCGCAAATGGGCGTCAGACTGAGCTGAGAGATAATCGACATCCTCGTTGAGCAGCTACCTGTATCCATCGGGCCTAATGATAGCTTTAGGTCAGTGTATATTTCAGGCATAGTTGCAACTACTGCAATCACTTGACCCGTTTCTGTTTGGTCTTGTATCAGGCCTCGTTGCCTAGCCAAATATAGGTTCGCCGTGTAAGGGGAGCAGGATCGTGTGCTGTGTCGTCCTACAATCCACAATGCCTCCGTCAACGTGGAATACGGCTAAGGCGAAGGTGCAGAACTTGTAAATAATCATGACACGTTTTCTGAACTTCGCCTGCACAGGTGCAACTTCGGTACACCGTTATCGCAATGATCTCCCGCTACGTTGCTTAATAAGTTCTTGCATGCTTTAGACTCTCCGTTCAACGGCTTCGCATAGCGCAGCAGAAGAAGGAGGCACACGCTAAAGGCTCTCGCAGGGATATAGCCCTTCTCCTGGAGAAGGGCAAAACGGAGAGCGCACGAGTCAAAGTAGAAGCTGGTAGGTTTCCTCCCCCTAGCTAGGACATCGGTTGTTCAATTATTTGGTATGTTCGTGCGTGCGACGTGCGACGCCAGTCATCAACGAAGATGTGAACCTTGAGTTATACGAGCTTCTTGAACTCTACTGCGAGTTGCTCATCGCCCGCTTCGGCCTTCTTGACCAAAAGTATGGAGCTCTATTGATTTGTTTCCGAAATTGATTCATCCACCGGCAGTACTCGAGACCCTGATCCCGGAATCAGCGAAGGTGTATGTAGCATCATACACGCAGCTCCGAGAACGGAAGTGAAAGGTGAATCAATACTGTGACATAAATCATACTGCTCACTGGTGTTCCGCCCCAGAATTACTGATTCTGCGCGACATGCTGATGCACAAGTATGGGCGCGACTTCTCCGTAGCTGCGATGGAAAATCGAAGTGGCTGTGTGAGTGAACGTGTAAGTATGTCGCCCGCGGCTATTTTAAACGAGGTCTTACGATTTCTTCTGCTGTATCAGATAATGAGGAAACTCGTCATAGAAACACCCTCGGAAGAGTTGGTTGACGGGTATCTCGGCGAGATCGCTAAAGCGTACAGTGTCAAGTGGGCTTCTGCTTCATCAATCACTGCTGCGGCACAAGGGAGCAATGTGGTTCGTTGATTCGGTTTAAAATTGGGATGTGATCTCATACAGACGGCCCTCTCCAGAAGGATGGCGCAACAGGCAGCGACACACTAGAGTCGCTTCCGTTGTACTCCCAGGAAATTTCTAATAAGTTGCCGGATATTCTTCTGACTGAAGACGAAACCGAGAAACCGAAGGTATCAGCCGGAGGAAAATCCAACCAGACGGAGTTCTCGAAAGAGGAAGCTGAGGACGAGTTCGCCGTTCTGGCACGACGCTTTGAGGAATTAAAGAAGCGTTGACTAGGTGTAGTGTACCCTCCTCTGTGTGATGCGGCTTATCTGCTTTTGTGTATATCCGAACCTCAGTGATTCTCCGTCTTATGAAGCTATGTGATCACGATTCACGAATCTTAGTGACTTCCGGAGATTTCTATTACCCCCGGGCTGTACGTATCAGCTTAATTATGCCAAGTCAGGTGCGCGAATTGATTGTACTAGAGGCGCCAACCTTGTGTCGTTGTTTATGTCCGCCGGATCCCATGGAAGGGTAGAAAATTTGTAACAACGTTTTGTCTGATCGGATGCGCCCACTGAGTGATTATTATAAACTTGCAATCAAGTTGAGCCAGGCTTCACGTGTATTGGCGAGTCGTCACGGTATCTAGTCATAATGACATCGTACTGATACAAATTTGAAATACTGATGCGGCAGTCCTGATTGTCAGTATTAGAAAATTTGATATCAACTGCGAGGCCAGGCTTAATTTATTATATGTACTCGTATTAATATTTGGGGGTGGGGGATCTCACGCCAATTTGCAGATTACAACACTACATCGAAACTGGAGCTTCAAGGAAAACTGAAACGGACGCACTCGACTTTGTCCACTAGTCCGAGTCGGTCGACTTATGCACGTAAGATTGTAGGGTTTATTTCCCAGTCGAGCATGTCCAACTCGCCACGGACGGTATAGACACGAGAATGCATATTTTATTCAAGCGGGCCTTTCGGACCATTGCAATTGCACATTTTGGGCTGATTCTGCCCCAACGGTCAGTATTGCAGGTTGCAACTCGGCGGCGGAACGTTGAGTCAGAATCATAAACTCCAGAACTACCAGAATCATAAACGGACCGGCGTGGACGCTGTCCAGCGTAAACCAAATTAATGCGATCGGCCGCACAGTCGTAGTTGTATGTCAGATTCGGTTTCCAAAAAAATGAGCGACTACAAAAGTTGCATAGTGATCCGCCGACCGTCAGCTGAAATTAGTGATTGTTTCCAGAGTCGAATTTAATAGGGGCCTTCAGACCTTGATTAGTTCACAAACGTTAAACCGTAAACAAGTGCTAGAGAAAATGATTTTTTACACATGTGTGTCACCTCGGTTCATGGCAAGCTAGGCTTGAAACGATGTCAAAGTGAGAAGCCAGTGATGAAAGAGAAGTACTAGTAAAGGTGATTGTTCGGGCTGAGTCGGATAAGACGGGAAAAATGGAAGTCCGGTAGTCGCCGGACAGTCCTCGGGCACGTGGAAGGGTTCAAATCCGTTCACGCGATTGCAGCGGCTGGAGTTTGATCAGAGTGCGGAGCAATTATCATGTCTCCGCCGGGAAGTTTATGTTTGACTGAATCAAGACTGAATTTATAATGACATCTTTCCACCATACCCATTATAAATAATTCTTCATCTGTGGCCGTTTCATCCATGTCTATCTCTACCCTCACAATGTCCCAGTCCCAGTCCTATCAACCTTTTCCTCATGCTGACGACGCTGACAGCGACATCGACTCAGACTCCGAGTCTGACAAATATACAGACATGTCTCTTGACGCGTTTAGCATCGCAAGCTCAAAAACATCCATAGATGTCTCTATGCGTTCTCAATCCCCAGCTCCATCAGTATTCTCCGCAACAAGTTCTTTACGAGCCCAAGCGTACAGACAAGAATACGGACGAGGACTGAACAATTATTCAGAAGTCTACCGCTTACCAGCCGACGATGAAGAACTTGACCGTTTGGGTGCGGTTAAAGTGACCCCTTTTCATCCCCCTGTAGTCTAACACTCAGCACAGACAGACAGCATGACATATTTTGCAAAGCCATAGGCAAATTTCCACCACCCATGCCCGAAATCATGGCAGAGGATGAGTTTGAGGTCAAAGCTGTCCTTGACCTAGGTTGTGGCAGTGGCAGCTGGTGAGATTCTTTTTCGAAATTTTTAACTATGCTCACATGTGCAGGATAATGGACATTGCGAGAGAATTCCCAAATGCAACTGCGGTAGCTGTGGATCTCGTTCCCATGCAGTCAACGTATGTGCTTGTGTTAACCCCTGTTCATTTAACCTTTCCTGAGCGAGCTACTCCTTGGCAGATCCATGCCCCCAAATTGCAGGTGAGAAAGATAGCTGCGATTATTCGGCGCTACCTTTCTTAGCTAGATCCCTTCCTTGATTTAGAAGTGAAGTTGACGACATTAATCTCGGCCTGGAGCACTTTTATGGCGATTTCAACGTCGTCCATACTCAATTAATTTCTTCCGGTGTCAGTATATTCAATCCGGGTATTTTTTTTTTAAAGTACTGACGTTACCTCCCTGTGCCAGATTCGGGATTACCAGGGGCTCATTAACCATATCGCTCACGTCCTCCGACCAGGCGGTCTAATAGACATCACTGAATTTCCATTCCACTTTACTGGCATCGAGAAAACATCTATCTGTCCCCCAGCGGGCACCTTTGAACCGCCGTGGACACCTCTATGGATGTCTTATGCGAACAGAGCCGTTCGTCAACGGGGCGGTGATGCAGACGCTTCCTTGCACATGCACCGATGGGTATGCGAGCACCCGGCATTCGAGGATGTCGTGTACCGTGAATTCTGGATACCACTGTCCCCGTGGCTAAAGGGCAATGACCCTAACAGTGTCTGGTGGAATGGTATTGGGACGACTATGCGAGATGACGTCAAAGTAATGCCAACCGAATATGACGTAAAGCCCTTTATATTAATTGCGCTTGCAGGCATTCATGAGATCCGGTCGCCCTTTGCTCCTCGGCAATGGGTTATCAGAAGAATTTGTGGATCAACTGGAAAATAATGCAGTGGCGGAATTGGATGAAGCAATCACTCCTGTTTACGTGTGTATACAAAACGTATATGCCCGTAAGAGATCTTGATTCTGGTGCATCTTGCCAGTCCTATTTATTCATCTATTCTACTTACCACTTGGGCATATTTGGACTCGCGTGGGCATTACACTAGAATACTGTATCATGGGATATTTTTCTCTTTCTTCATTCTCATTACCGTTCGATACCTGCAATAGCCACGCTTTCTTCATGGCATCACGACACAAGATATATTTGACGTAGACGATTACAGACCAGTCTTAATCTAAGCGTCTTGAAGCAAAAAAAGGGCATGTGTTTGGACGTATTCATGCCCCTGCATATGTGAACAATAAGACTAACCGAGTCAACTTCGGTACTGGGGTGGAGGAGAAGAAAGGTTTCTTTCGGGCATGTCTATACGCGAAGCAATAATTTCTAGTATTCTGTCCACTTCTGAGTCTGGTATCTGTCCAGGCGGCTCCAGCCTTGATGGCCTCGGAGAATAGTACTCCTCCCCCGCAGAAAGTGCAGGAGAAGAAACACTGACCGGTGGAGTTGGCAAAGGACGCTGCCGACCACGGGCACTAGAAGACAGAGAACCACCCGTATTATTACTGGCTTCGCTGTATGGGCCTGAAGAACTTGTGACAGATCCAGGACCACGTGCATGTGCCCTTTCACGCAGTGTACCATTGACACCAATACTTCTGCCGATTGGTATCAATGGGAATTTTTCCGGACGAATATTGGCGGTGGCGCTTGAAATAGTGTATGGCGTAGCGAGTGCGGGGAACTGCGGAGCATGAGCCCTAGGAAGAATTTCGTTTGCTAGTAAGTTGGAATCTCGTCTCAAAATTGCTGTTTTAAGGCGTCGTGAACGTCGCCAGAAGAGGAAACCGACGACTAAGGCAAGCAAGACGACCACTCCTACGATGGCGCCAACTATCTCGCCTGTATTTGAGTGCTTCGATGACGATGACCTTATCGAGGAAGCCGCTTCAGTTCCGTATCTTAAACTTTCTGATCGGTGGACTTACAGTGTGGTCGGCTGGGGCTGGTAGAGTTTCACGGAGTTTATTGCAAACTTGTTGCCATCTTCACTTGTATCGGCAATATTTAAAACATAATTTTGTGTTGGATCTAGGCCCCCTTCATAGAACAAGGTAGTATCCGGAATGAACCAGAAGCTGCTTGCGTTGAGTACGGATTGGGTACCATTTAGAGACTGATAAATTCACAAGTAAGCTCCCTGGCTTTAGAATGAGACGTGCAATGCGCACCACTGTGTATTGCCAATTACCCCAATTTACAATACCTTGTAGGACCACTGCAGATGACCCTCCGAATGTGGTAGACACACTTGAACCCGTGGTTTCCGTAAAATGGAAGAAGCTTCCAGGGACATGTGTATCTGTGCTAACAGACCAGTTCCCGGTATAGTCGAGGAACGTGGTGTTCGTATTACTATATGATGCCATTTGGGGGACTGCTTGTCTGATAGAAAGTTCAGGCGCTCCCGAAACGGATTGCGTTGGCTATTGACGTACTCAATATAAATTACAGCATTTTCAAATGCAAGTTGCTCTCCTGAAGTTGGGTGGGCAGTCAGAGTGAACGTGTGCGTTCCTTCCGACAGCGTTTGCGAAGAGTACAGGACATCACTGGAAGAGCTGAGGGATGGGGAGAAAATTCCGTCTACCGTGACATCGAATGTGCAATTTGCTGCTCCATGGAGTTCTATCCCTGTGCCTTTATCGGCCGTAACCAATTCAGGATCGCAAAGGGGGAATTCATACAATGGTTCAACGTACCATAAAATGTCAAGGTAACATTAGCACCTGGCAGCGAGGTGATATGTGCTGAAATGCCAACTCCTGGATTCGCGAATGCCGTATTATATCCAGTCTCCGAGTACCAGATTTGCCAGCCATTTCCCGTTCCAAAACCATCATCTGTAAATCAAGTCAAGTCAACTTGAATCGATATTGAAATGAAACGCGATGAAACAACCCACAGTAAGGATAATACGTAAATACTGGGCTCGTATCATTCAGAGTTATATTCCATGAGGTTGCCATTGAAAGTCGCGTAATACAGTGACCACTGGCCAGCACTTAGAGGCTACCGCGTTTTTCGATGTGGCACTTTTTGCTCGATAGGCGTTGGGAATTGATTTGAGCCAACATATACAAGCGCCTGTAGTGCTATTTTTGATGCCGGTGTGACATATTATCGAATATGGCCCATCAGTGCCTTCATCATGTTGCGTATCATCGAATTGACAGCTTGTTTGGGCTATGTCAGCGCTGTCGCTGATCATCACGAATTGACAGGGTTGGTAAGCCAGAAATCCATGGGAGTGATTGCGCCACAGCCCCGGGACCCACGATACTTCTTACTGTGGGTGCCAGGGTCTGGCCAGGGAGACAGGAATTCCGTCAAGGGACATAGACAGTGTTCGCTGCATGAGAGACTATGAGACAATTTTAGCGTACAATGTCACGGCAAGTTGTCGTCAGAATAACCTATCTCAAAAATACAGCAAGTGGTGCCTTCTACGATCATGCACTCGTCAAGGGTCGTGATTTATTGAATAATGGAAGCGGCTATAAAAATCCATCAGGTGATGCACTGGTAGCACTGCGTTTTGCCCATGAGGAGATGAGGCGGATCATCAACTGCCTTCAATCATATCTGTCTAAACCCCGCGCAACGTCATGGATGTCGTAGGAGGGTGCCATCGATCCCATGTCATGCCGCCGCAGGCACTTAGGGTCGAAACCTGGTCTATACGACCACGCATGCACGGACGAGTCGAGTGGCGGATGTTCAAAACTCAAAGTTGTGTACGTATGCTAATCTCGAAGAGTACGTACGTTCAAGGCCCGTGGCGACCCTGCCCTTGCTGTCAAAATAACCATCAACGGTGACTCATTCGTCCGTGATATGGGTGAAGCTTAACGTCCTTCCAATGATTACCGGCGACTAGCTCCGGCCTGGCCATGGGTCTGCGGCCACAGTCAGGATGATCATTCGGATGGACAGGAATGGTACCATACAGAAGACGCCTGATGCACATCCGGTATTATGTCTAGAAATGAACAAAAAGGGGGAATAAAAAACCTCATTAATATATTTTAACGTGACAGTCTAGAAGGGAAACATACTAGGTGCACTTGAAGCCCGCAGTCAACGTCTGCTAGTGCACTGGTCAAGGCAGGCATAGAGGTACTGATAGACTGCCAGCACTGAGTCTATAGTAGAACCTCAAGTTGTGAGCTCGACATTTAGTAACCGTACCGGTGTTGAACGTTGAGCGCTCAGCATTGAGCCCAGTAGCCTTAGGCCTGAGAAAGGAGGATGAAGGAGGCGTGAAATAATCACCGGAACTTCGGGATTCGCTTTATACAGTACTGGCCGCCATCACTAAGGTCCTAAGGCTTGAAAAAGAGCGAATTGAGCAGAGTCTGCAGACTGTCCGAGCGAGCCAACTTTCATCTCTACTCCCTCAGAGCCTCCAAAACTATGTATCACTGTAGTAGCTTGGGCGAGCCCACACGTAAGTACATGGTAGAACAAAGTACACCGCCGAAAACCTAAATTACTAGCCCTGAGATATATTTATTTCTGTGACATTGAAGGGGAGCACGGAAAAAAAACTTTTGACGAGGATTTGATCTTTGCGCATATGAGCTTTACAGCATAATTCATCGACTTATGTACCAACTTGAAGTCCATTCAATTCCGCCTGGTTGTCAGGTGTTGTAAATGGTTTTCGCACATCGTATCTCTGTACGTAGACTCTTACTGGACTCGGCAGTGTTGAAGCGCTTGACCAAACAATGACCAAACAAACAATTCAGCTCGACCACGTCGTGCATTTCGCGATCGCCGACCTGCAGCTCGTCCTTTGATCGCTGTCAGCAATGGCTTACGTCTCGAAAAAGGAGGACGAGAGTGGCCTTAGTTCTTACTATAATAACAAGACAACAATTATTCAAGAAGCCCGTGTTTTCAACGACTCTCCAATTAGCCCCAGGAAATGCAGGGCTCTCCTCACTCGTATTGTCTATCTGCTTTACATCGGGGAGACCTTCAGCGCGCAGGAGGCAACAACATTGTTCTTTGGAACAACAAAGCTCTTCCAACATAAGGATGTGTGTTCCTATTCTCTTCTCATTGCCATGCAATGACCAGCTCATGTCTTGTGAAGAGCGCCTTGAGGCAGATGGTGTATCTGGCCATCAAGGAACTTGCAACCACCGCTGAAGATGTCATCATGGTCACAAGCAGTATTATGAAGGACATGCAACCGAACTCCGAGGTTATTTACCGGCCAAATGCAATTCGTGCACTTTGCCGAATCATTGACGTGCGTCTGCCCAAATTATGGAGTCCCATACACTCACCGCTGTATAGCCTTCCATGGCTCAAGGTGTAGAGCGTTTCTTCAAAGCCGCAATTGTAGACCGAACACCCTCTATCTCATCTGCGGCACTCGTGTCCTCGTATCACTTATTCCCTCTTGCAAAAGACGTTGTCAAGCGTTGGGTGAACGAAGCTCAGGAAGCGGTCAGCGCGAAGTCTTCATCATCCTTCTTCCCCGGATCATCGAGTGGTGGTTATCTCAATTTTGGCTCATCCGGAAATTCGAACAGCGGTTACCAGCCTATTCCTTCAACGAGCTACATCACTCAATATCACGCACTTGGTCTTCTGTACTTGATCCGCCAGCAGGATCGGATGGCTGTGACTAAAATGATACAGCAGCTTGGTGGGGGCAAGTCTGGTGCAGGCACAACGCTTAAAAATTCTATGGCTCTTTGCATGCTTATTCGGTATGCTGCAAAAGTGATGGAGGAAGATCCAAAGTACGTCTTTGGACGTGTTATGAAACCAACTCCTTATTTTGGTTTTAGTATTCAAAGGCAGATCCTCGATCTTTTGGAAGGGTGGCTACGTCACAAGAGTGATATGGTCAATTTTGAGGCAGCACGTGCTATTTGCGAGATGAAGAATGTCAATGCTTCGCAACTCACCAAACCAATAGCAGGTTTGTAACTATTGAACTTTGATTATTTTTGTCTGACTTGTTTACAGTGCTCCAGCTATTCCTCTCTTCTCCCAAACCTGTTTTGAAATTCTCTGCAACCCGGACACTGGCTACTCTCGCTCTGACCCATCCTGCTGCTGTGGCGTCATGTAACGTCGATCTTGAGAATCTTATCACTGACCAGAATAGGGGTGTGGCAACATACGCCATTACTACCCTGCTCAAGGTAGAGATGAACTTGAATTAATTCTACACTCACTAATTGTTCCATAGACAGGGAACGAGGCGTCCGTTGACCGTCTCATGAAGCAGATCACTGGTTTCATGTCAGAGATCAGCGATGAATTCAAAGTCATCATTGTCGATGCCATTCGCTCGCTATGCATCAAATTCCCGACGAAGCACGTTTCCATGCTCGCTTTCCTTTCGGGGGTCCTCCGTGATGAGGGCGGATATGACTTCAAACGCGCCGTCGTCGAGGCTATGTTCGACATGATCAAGTTTATCTCAGACTGCAAAGAGCAAGCACTCTCGCATCTGTGTGAGTTCATCGAAGACTGCGAATTCACGAAGTTGTCCGTGCGGATATTACACCTCCTTGGCCTCGAAGGTCCCAAAGCTCCACAACCGACCAAGTACATTCGGTTCATCTACAACCGTGTCGTACTTGAAAATGCCACTGTACGAGCAGCAGCCGTTACAAGTTTGGCCAAGTTCGGCGTGAATGCGGTGGACGATGGTTTACGAAGAAGTATTGGCATTCTGTTAAACAGGTTAGTCGCTTTTCCCCGTGTAGAAAAAGCGACTAACAAAAGTTCTCAGGTGTTTGGATGACGTCGACGATGAGGTTCGTGATCGCGCCGCGATGTACCTGAGAGTCATGAAGAAGACGTCCCTTGCGGACATCTATGTGAAAGAAGGTACGTTGACTTTTCGACGATTTATACGGTGTTTCATGATTTGTACAGAATCTGTATTCTCACTTGCCGCGCTCGAATCCAAACTCGTTGCGTATGTTAATGATGTTGATGCCAGTGCACAGCCATTCGACGCCTCGTCGATACCAAAGATCAGTCGGGCTCAACTTGCTGCCGAGTCGACTCGTCAGTATTCTCATTTTCTCCTATTCTAAACTCTGACGCGTTTTCAGGTCCAAGCACACTGGACACTATCGCTGCGCCCGCGACGAGAGCTTCAGCATCTCCGCCACCTCCGACTGCTGCAGAAACGCAATCTGCATATGTGCAGCAACTCGCGGATATACCACACTTTGCAGAGTATGGAACCGTCCTCAACAGCAGCGTAAAGCCTGCACAGCTTACGGAATCCGAGACCGAGTATCAAGTTACGTGTGTCAAGCATATATTCAAAGAGCATATCGTATTCCAGGTCAGTAAACTGCACTGCACCTCATGGCGTTGCGTCTGATTCGGTTCCTAGTTCAATGTATCAAATACCCTCCCGGATACTGTACTGGAACAGGTGGTTGTGGTAATGCAACCACAGGCCGATTCTGGCTTGACAGAAGATGTTGTCTTCCAAATCGACTCTCTGAGTTGTGCCAATTCACCTGGAATCGTCTATGTTTCTTTCAAGCGTGACAACCCCCAGGAGTATACCACCACCTCCTTCCAATGTATCCTGAAATTCATTTCCAAGGAACTGGATCCGTCGACCGGTCGGCCGGAAGAAGAGGGTTACGAGGACGAATACCAATTGGAGGAGGTCGAGCTTTCAGCCGGTGGGGATTATATCATTCCCAGTTACGCATCCTTTTCCTCCGAGTGGGATCGTCTACGGTCTGGTGCGACTGCTACGGAAACATTCTCACTTGGTGCCATGGAAAGTATCAAAGGTTCGTTTCACTTTTTCTGTACCTGTCTGCAATTTTTCCACGGCTGATGCAACTCACACCTCATCCACATTTACAGCTGCCTGCGACTCTATCATTGAGCTGCTCAATATGGAGCCTTTAGGTGGCACGGAGGCGCCCAGTTCGACATCTGTACACACGCTACAACTTTCTGGTCTGGTAACTGGGGGAGGAGGCAAGGTGCTTGTCAGGTGCAGAATGACGTTTTCGCGAGGCCAGGGTGTTACGCTTGAACTTGGGGTGCGTGCAGAGCAGGAGAATGCGTGTGCCTTGGTTGTATCTGTCATCGGAGGTTAGAGTTAGATTCGACACGTGGAGCTTGTATCACATGGTGTCCCACTAGCCAGAGAGCAATACATACGACTATGCTATGTTCACACGGTGACTGGGAGACTAGACATTGTGAATGGCTATAAGGAGCAGTTCCAGATTCCGGCAAATGCGGCAAATATTACAAAGTCTCAAGACAACGAAATGGCATGAGTTTTTTAAATTTTGAACGTTTACATGGTTCAAATTGCTCAGGGAAGTGTTCGTACGATTTCGTGGTTGTCGTACCACGTTCCAGTGCTTTTAAGTCACACATAATTTTCTGTCATATAGTTGTGAGCCCATTCGGTTTTATCTACTTTGATCTGACTGTTCCGAAGCGTCATCCAGACTCACAATATGCATGCCCCCCTCCCACCGCCGTCGCTGCCCACGCCCAAGGCTATCCGTGTCAATACTAAAGGAGCAGTGATACTAGCCGAGGAGTCACCCGAGGTATGCGCATGGTCTATCCAAGCTATGCATCACCTTGACCGCTCATTGTAACATAGACTCGGGACAGCCGAGGAATATACCTCCCAAACTACATCGAACCAGTCTCACATATCGCAATAGACGTAAGCGCTAGTCCATATATCGTCCTGGTTCTGGTTACTGATATCAGGTCATATCGCAGATTGGCGGATCACTAGCGAAAGTCGTTTACTTTACACGTTCTCCTTCATCCCCATCTGTGATAGCCACGCAGGGCAGTAATTCCTTCTCAGGGTCCAGTGCTGGCTCCCCATCCACATCCCCATCAAACGTTACTATTCCCTGCAGCTCTTCGCAAACAAGGAATGGCACTCTTACACCCCTCGCCCTCGAATCCCACTATAACGGAAATGGACACAGCAATGACTACGGCCACTATCCCTCAGATTCCCTCGACACAGACCTCTTACACTCCACTATCCTTAAACGCACGACGGAAGTACGTCACATCCCTGGGGGCTCCATTAATTTTGAGCGGTTCGAAACGTCTAATATCTCCGCGCTCGTCGCCTTCATATCGGAGCTCATAACTCGGTCTGCTGCCGCGAATGGCGTCTCTATTGAGGAGATGCGCCGTAGCGTTAAGATCTCAGCCACCGGTGGTGGCGCACACAGGTTTGGAAAGCTGTTCGAGGGCGAACTGGTGGTGGATGTGCAGAGAGAGGACGAGATGGAATGTTTGATCGAGGGGATGAAATTTATGGTGACGATCCCAGAGGAGGTGTATTACTTCTCGGATGAACTCATCCAGGAAGTGACCCATCACATATCGAAGGACGTGGAGAATGAAAACGTATCGGATGGTCCTTCGTCCAGCGGGAATGTGACGCCCAGCACGAGCGCGGAGCCCGTTCTAGAGCGGCCTTCACCAGACCCGCCGCGGTATGCCGTGACGTTCGAAACGAGCGAACCTTCTGCGCATCTTCCTTGTTTGCTTGTCAATATCGGATCTGGTGTATCTATAATCAAGGTGGATGCTGATGGATCTTTTGAACGTGTGAGCGGAACGAGCCTTGGCGGGGGGACGTTATGGGGACTTCTTAGCTTGTTGACGCCGGCGCGGACATTTGATGGCAAGTGGCAGACATTGTGGCTTGATCAGTGACTTATTCTTGGCGCAGAGATGCTTGCATTGTCCGAAAAGGGGGATAATGCCAGTGTGGATATGCTCGTTGGTGATATCTATGGTTCGGACTACAGCAAGCTTGGACTCAAATCGACGATGATAGCCAGTTCGTTTGGGAAGGTTTTCAGGAGCCGAGGTGAGGCGAAGGCAGAAGAGGAACGCGGGACGTTCCGAGCCGAGGACATTAGCAGAAGTTTGCTTTACGCTGTGTCGAATAATATCGGGCAGATTGCGTGAGTTGGCTGGATATGGCACTGGAATGTGCTTCATTGAGGATAGGCTGACAGCAGGATCAGGTACATGAACGCAGAAAAGTATGGTCTAGATAGGATCTACTTTGGTGGCTTCTTCATACGTGGTGGGTGGAGTTCCTTATATCTTAGTCATTGTGCGATGTTGATACCGTTTCAGGACATGCAGCGACGGTGGCTACATTATCATATGCTATACGGTTCTGGAGCAAGGGAACGAAGCGAGCGCTGTTTTTCCGACATGAAGGATTCCTGTGAGTTTATTGATGGTTATTGAGTATGAGGAGATTAAATGAAAGTTAACTTGCAGAGGGTCAATCGGAGCATGGATTAAGAACATCGACGTGGAAGAGACGCCAGTGCTGCCGTCATAGCTTGTGTCTGTTTCTCATGTGCACTATTTATACCGTTTCATTCCATTTTCGAGCTTTTGCATATACGAGGCTTATCATGTACGAGGATAATCAATCTATGAGAAATTAGTTGGCGTAAACCCAGGCGGCCGGATTTGCCAGTGTGGCACTGCACAATACTACAAGGCAGTACTACTGAGTCACTGCGTACGTTTCCGATTCCGATTCAGTCTAGTGACCAAGTTGGGTCAAATTCCGCTTGATTAATAAACGTTGAAAGCTTAGCGCTTATACTAGATATGAAACGACTGCGAGTCCAAGTATTATACCAGAAAACATCCAGGAAGTGTATAGCCACGTGGATACCCTGTGAATCCTACTCCTCTAACCGAGTTTCAGCTTCACCAACGCCTCGACTCAGCACCCTGTACTAGTAGCTAGGATAATCATTTATTAGTAGCAAGAGGCGATGATTTATATATTATCGTTGCTGTCCTGTAATATGCCCCTCAGTGACGACAAGTAGCACCCGTGGGAATATTGATCATTATAGCAGAGTAAAAAAAGGTTGCGGATATGGAATATCAGCAGTCCATATACAAGCCTTTGTCATGTCTCTCCCTTGAAAGCTGTCCCCCATCAAGCCTCCATGGAATTAACCATGGACAACGTTCTCTTCCCTAATCATCCTTCACAATCCAATAACAACACCATATCTGCTTCTTCATCTGTCCTTGGCGACGTCGACCCCGACGACCATAGCAGACTTTCAACACCTATAGCTAATATTCACGACGATGAAAAGCCAACAAAAAAACCTCACGATCCCGAAACAACTGACAAGGGCCCCTCTGCAAAGAAGCCTCGTCATCGTCACAGTCCACACCAGCTCGCAGCACTCAACGAGCTCTATGAGAAAAACGAGCATCCCAGCCTAGACGACAGGACAGACCTAGCTGAGAAGCTTGGAATGTAAGTTCCCCTTTTGGGCACCCCTCATAATTTTATTGATTCGGTCGACGGGCGTCTCTTGCATTTATGTGCATTCAACATCCCTCTCTCCCATCCTTTTGACTTTCAGGGAAACGAAGACTGTGAATGCGTGGTTTCAAAATAAGAGAGCTTCCACCAAGAAGCGCAATAAACCAGTAACCTCTGCTTCCACTGACGCACCGCCCCCCAAAACTCCATCATCTACGCTTCCATCAATAGCAAACCTTTTAAACTCCTCATCACCTCCACCCACTGCTTCCTCACGTAACATTTCATCCCGTTCCCATCCCTCTTCATCATCACGCAAGAAACAGAAAGATATCCTCCACCTTCATGACGACCATATCAATGATGCACATTACACTCATGACAAGCCTTTCGCCCCCGAGTTCTTGCCTCATGATCGGTTTGTGCCTGAGAACCAGGCTGTCGATAGCGATCGGCACCATGCCGTCTATGCCGAAAGGGGCCACTTTGTACCCGACGCGGATAGCCGCTTTGTCTCCGAGAATGACGGTGCCAGTGATGGCGTTACGTCTCGAAAGGGCAGAGGCGAGCCAATTCGCAACAGAACATCCCCCGAGCAAGGTGAAGAGCTTCGTCGCGCTTATGCGAAAAATGCACATCCATCCAAGGATGAAAGAGAAGAACTCGCTGACCGAATTGGCATGTCAGTGGTGTTTTTATCAAAATCATTGTATCATCCCACTGATCTTGCGTCGATAGGCGCCGTCAAAGCGTGACAAATTGGTTCCAGAACCAGCGCACTCTGGCTAAGAAGCATAAGGAAGATCCCCATCCCCTCACATCTTCGTCATCTGCAACTGCAGATGGCTCATCTCACCCATCTTCTGTCAATGATGATGATCATGGGCCTTCATTGACCCATCTGAACTTCCCTCCAAGGGCATCTCATCCATCCCTCGTCCCGGACCGTCATCTGCCTCTTCCTTCTCTTCCCTTCCTTAAGTTGTCTCCACCTGAACTTGATGATGTGAAGGTTCCGCGCAGCCGAATGTCTTTGCCGCCATCCTCGAATCCTCGTCTCACTTCACCCCGCATGCGAAGAAGCGTCACCCCATATTCTAGGGACCGCGAAGAGATGCCTCGGACTCATGAGGGCATCAAAGGAGAGGACACACAATCCCGTCCTCGCCGGTCTCGTCCTGAGCCATATCAGCTGGAAGCGCTCAAGAAGCTGTTGCATCGCACGTCGACGCCAAGTATCGAGCAAAGGAACGCCCTTGCAATGGAAGTCGGAATGTACGTCAAATTCATCCCGGCATATCGTTTACTTACCTCCCCGTCAGGGATATTGGCAAAGTCACAAATTGGTTTCGCAACATTCGCCAAACAGCCCGCAAGCGGGCTAAACGAGCTGGTGTTCCTCTTCCTCGCGCCCCAAGGGGCCGTGGATATCAGTATAATTTTTCCCGTGAAACTTCATCAGGCTCGTCTTCCCAAGACGAAGACGAAGACGATGCAATGGATCTGGATGACGAGGACACCATGGAATTTGATGTCGACGAACGCAGCGAAGAGGATTTACAGGAGGCAGTGACCCCTGGCATGTCGCCTTCTCCTCCTCCGCAAAAACGCATACGGGCACATGTTCCACTTCCGATGCCTCGTGATGGGGGCAGCATTGGCGTCGAAAGTATAGGCGTGGGACTGATTGAACCCGCTGCCTTTCAAGAGCTTGAGATGGCCGTGGGAATATCTGCGGGACCTAGCGAGTACGTCAGCGCGGATGCGGGTATGCATGCCACAACGTTTTCTGGTGTGAAGATCGAGGATGCATTGCTATTATTGAGCTTTCATCAGCATGTTGTGCATTAGGGTATGTGTTCTATTTGGTGTCCCGGGGGCAGGTACTCACGTGTTGTTTCATGTAGATAACTTCAGAGCTATTTATATCAGCAAACAATGATGTGTTTCAAAGCCTGCCCACCAAGTGTATCGACTATCATTACCATTCGCGTGTTTTTTGTGACCTTTATCATTCCACCATTTGCATACCGCATGGATGCGTTCATATTCATTATTGTTGCTTAATTGCCTATATTTCTTTGGTTTCTTGCCCCACCGCGTACAATACATGAGCTCGATCTTATCTCTCTGTACTGGCACGATTTGTATGCTTTCCTGGTATTTAAACAAATGTGTCGCGGTGCATAACTATCTAGTTAGTATTTGTATGTTTTCTGTCGTAGATAATTATTCCGTGTTATGACGACTGTATGTACGTAGAGCTACAGCGAAATGTGACTGATTTACACTGAATTGCGTCTCGCGCTTCTTCCTTTCCTACTGACCCTGTTGTTATTTGCGCCGTAACCATCGAGGTTTGGAACGGGCAGCTTTCCCTCCTCTTCCCACTTGTCAAGAATCTCGACCGCAGCGAGATACCCCTTCTTCTGGATCTCATCGAACTTGCTGAACTGGAGTGTGCCATACTGCACGCGCGTGAGTGTCATGCATGGAGACAGGAGAGTATGCGTACCTCCTGAACTGGCATCTGCATATACAGGCAGTTCCGTGTGACTTTGGCTGCCTCCAGAGTGTGCACGCTCGATACGCTTCGAACACGTAAGAACAACAGAAACTGATCCTGCGGTGACGAAAACTTACTAAGCTAGTCGACTTTGGATCTCGGTAATCGCAGGCACAGTTCGAGCACTCGAGAAGGGGTTCCATCGGTTGAAAAAGAGCCACCACCCAGAAACAGAGTCACCAAAGTTTCGAGGCGAATTGTCGTCGATCTGGGTAATGGAGGGTAAGGACATGCAGATAGAGGTGACAATTTTCAAGAAAAACCTACAGAACCAACATCAGCAGCAAGCACAACACTCGCGCCCATCGAGAACATTGTTGACACCTGATGCTATACTTTAGGCACCATCCAGGGCCATCAGTCATTAGCTACTCACGGGTAGGTTGTCAACTGCGGAAGACAATCTCATAAGCAATAAGTACAGGATTGAACGAAGGGACGCACTATATCCACCATCAACAAGCATGCTGCCGTTATCACATAATGGAGGCAGCAGTCCAACCAGAGTCATGGAAGCACCTGTAACACTCGTGAGTTCGTCTCGACGAAATCAATTGGACGACCTCACGGATAAACCTCCAGGCATAACCACTTTCATGGATCTCCATGCGGGATGTGTTGATGTTCGTGGTATTACAGAAGTACGGTAGCCACATATCTTCTATGTGAAGATCGTAGAAGGCCTGACAAATGTGTTAAGATTGTGGGTCCATGCTAACTTCTCGAAGGCTTACTTTGTATATAGTTCTGTTAAACTCATGTCCCTAAGGCGAGACGTGAATGTGTGCGATATGAAGCGTGATCAGATGACTTACTGTGGTATAAGCGACGAGAGGGTATGTGACATCTGAAAGCATCCTCCAAATATTCCCCATTCTTCCGCTGAACTGCTTAGCACGATTGGTGCTCATTATAATATCGCACTCGCGTGCATAAAGACCACCTATTAGTGCACCGATACTAGTGCCTGCGATGTAGTCGATGGGAATACCGCGTTCCTCGAGTGCACGTAGAACACCCTGTTATCTTATCAACGGATGATGACAACTCCACGGAGATATCACTGACGAGATGCGAGATGCCACGAGCCCCACCACCACCGAGGACAACCCCGACAGATTTTGCGCAGAGTCTCCTGGCTAGACGAGAGAAGTCATTGATCATGGGATGTGGCTGCGGTCTTGCGTGCCTAAATCTCCCCCTGTACTTCTGGATGCCATTCTGCACTCTATCCTTGAGGTTCTTGAATGCAATGACAACATCGGGATCTTGTATCTGAGTGGTCTTCACGATCGGAACTGCAAGACCCTATCGTCCATGTGTAAATCACTAATCCAAGAGTGAAAGTCTGGTACACACCGGAAGTTCGACGTGAATATGTTGGTGCACCCAAGGACGATTCTGTATCTTTATTAGATTAGTCGTGCATGAGGAAGCTTTCATGACACACTTTCAGCCATTCGCGCGTCGACCCAGGGACTACAGAACGTTCGGGATGGAGAAGCACAAGCTCTTTGCGTGCTGTGGTCTTCATTGAAAGTAGCAACCTTTCGTATTCTCCAATGCTCGGATCATCACCCATCCCAACCACCATCACAAAGTCGGCCTGACAAGAAGGGTTACAGCGTTCTGAAACCTTGTGAGATATAGATGACCTACCTGTCGGATACAAGTCTGCGTCCAGGGGCTGTTGACAGGGGAATCAGCGACATAAAGCACTGTTCTATATCTTTGCTCCTGGTCTGCAAGCCAAGCTGCAGCTTTGAGTGTGCCCATACGAGAGAATGCATGACGGCCAAGATGACTTGACACAGAGGCTTGGTTCATATACGATGTCTTGGCGCCCATCTCTTCCAATGCAGTCTTCAGTTTCCGAGCAAAGGTGTCTATAGGGACATTTCGCGATACTGGAAGAATGGCCACAGTCTTCAAGTTAGTGTTGTTCCGTCCCAGTTCGAACGCAGCGTTGCGTGTCTGAACATCGCTCGACGCATCCATCTCGTCACGTACGCGGGAGGCAATCGTCCGTAACAGCCTAGGCATGGTTAAAGACGAGCCTTATATCAAATATAGTACTTACTGTGCAGTCGTCTGTGGATTTCTGAGCATAGTATGAGCCGACGGCCCAAGAGCATGGCGGATGAGGACTTACCTTGAGGAAATGGCGTTAAACAGCGTTTGGGGCATTCGAATCAGCTCAGAGTCGCGGATTGCATGCATTGTCGTTCTGCGTGTTGAACTAGTGATGACGTCTAATTCCCCAACAGTGTCGCCTTGTCCGTATTCGCCAGTGATGATGACTTTACCACCTTCTCCTTCGGTAATTGCTCGTAGTCGTCCATTGATGACAATATAGAAACTATCACTAATATCTTCAGGACGCCAAAGAACTTGACCAGCATTGACGTGCATCCAGTCAAGAGAAGCGTCGATTTGCAGGACTACCGCATCATTAGTATGTCACAAGGGATGTTTAGAGGCAGTGCTAACCTAGAGGTGACAATAATGAAATGAGACGTTTCGCCAATGTAAGTTGCACGATAGGTCGTTTCTCCACCAGACGTTCAAGAGAGTGAGCAGGTAGAAATCCCACGTATGTGTCAGTCTTCGCTTGAATGTCAACATATGAAGGTGTTCCGCAGAGAGACGCTTCAAATAACATCAGGACATGCGACAAGCCGTCTGATATAAGCATACCGAGATAGCCCGCAATTCCTCCTGATTTCACGGTAAACAACAGCTTGCGACTGTGGGCCTTCTCAGGCTCTTGCTTGTGGTCGGATGTGTAAAGAGGGTTGTTGTCTGAGGTTGTCGACCTCGTCCCATAGGGCGCATTATTTGACCGGGACTCGTCAGCACGTAGGAGGATATCCAAGAAACCTTCAACAACATAGTAAAGACCTGGTTTGTGTGCAGTCAATTATCGTCTATACTTGATTGACGGGACTTTTACCAGTATTCCGTTCTCCGGCCTTCACAAGGATTGAGCCAGCAGAGAAGAAAAGTATCTCGACTTCGTTGTCCAGACCGCTCATGTAACCAGTCGTGCTAGTAGTTGATGTTCCCGTTATACTCGAGGCGCCATCATCCGTAGTTTCTAAGAGCGACAGGGAGCCAAAGGGAGACGGGAACACGCCGTTCGCAGGGCGCATATGATCAAAAGGCGGGAAAGCTGGCGAATCTTCGATGGACTCGTTCCCGCTCATGGGTGGCTGGAGTAGACCAATGGACTTCGCGATACATGACATGACTTCTTCACGCAGATCAAACTCTTCATTATTCAGACGGGTCTGTAACGGGTCGCTTTTCTGCAACCGAGGGGTTTCCAAGATGCTAAACGAACGCGCAAGTTTATACCCGTCACTGCTTTGCCCAGTTGAGGTATGCAAGTCGCCAGCCTGTACCTGATTGCGAGGCGTACGAATTGGGACCCCACGCATAACAAGCGGACTATCTGTCAGGCTTTCTGGCGGTAAAACTAAGGGCGTAAAACCACCGTTAGTAGAAGCCAGACCCAGTGATGGACCGAGGTACTCGCTTTCAGGGTCAGGCCCCTGAATTGCGACGTCGTCAAAACGTTGACGTAGATATTGTAGGCCACCGCCCTCATAGAATGATGCCGGAAGAGGGTGACATGCAATCTCGTTGATGGCCTTCTCAGTTCGAAGGACCTCTGTCGTTAACCCCAAATATCTGTGTGCCGCATTGAATGTAACACGCGAAAAGCGCGTCAGAATTACTGGAGATATAATGAGCAAAGTGAGAACTCCATCTCACAGAAATTGTACCTTGTACGATATGACTGGTGGCTTTGGGAAACTTCTTTGCAACTCTGCGAAATGCTTCTGCAGGGATGAAGGCCAATGTGCTGTCTTCCTTTGCCCTGGCCACGATACCATGGTGGAGCTGAGTTGTAGGATTAGAAGCTGATCGAGAGCGGGAAGCGCGCCGTAGCGGCGACCTAAACCTGTCTCCAATGTGATACGGGGACGTCGGGCGAACGGGGGAAGTCGCGTCTGCGGGGTGAGCGGTGGAACCAGACGACGAGATAGATGCAGCACGAGAAGGCCGGGAAGTCGCAGATGCGTAGTCCAGGCTAAAGCGAGACACGTCGGAATCCGCGCGACGAGTACGTGATTGAGGTCGTCCTCCCTCTCCATTTGTAGAATTTTCTCCAAGAGCATCGGGATGACCATCTTCTTGCCAGCTTATCTTTATGTGCTCAGTGAACAAGCTGAGAATGCTGAATAAACTAGACAAGGTTCCACCGCTCCCAACTTCATTGATAAGCTGGTATCCGTTCATATCCTCCTCGTCCCATGACCCATTTTGACAATTATTCTGGCCTGTTTGAGCGTATACCTGGACCATGCCATCGACAACGCAATAGAAGCTCCTGTCTTCGTCCAGAGAGATACTATCCCCGGCAATTAAGCGTCTCGTGGCAAGATGCCTTGCCAATTCATGGAATACCTGTTAAATCATGATGGATTGATCAATGCAGACGATGCGGAGTACTCACTGGCTTCTCGAGAAATCCAAAGACCCGGACAGCCTGCAGGAAATCGTCCAAGTAGTTGTGAAAAGCTGGGGGAGGCTCTGTTGTATTCACATCTGGGTGAAGTGCATTCACGTCGGGCTTCACCAATGGTGGCTCCTTCAGTGAGGAGTACGTGTTAAGGTATCGAAGGCGTATCCAATAATTCAGAGCAACCGCCGAAGCCAGAAACATGATGGCAAATGACCAAAAATTCAGCTAGTTGAGTGTAAGTAATTCATATTTCAAGCAGCAATCTTGGAAACACTGACTGTTAAGGTCATGGAATAGGACAGAGCAAAGTAGATGAGACGGGGGATGGTGATAGTGGAAAAAGCTATCAAAGCTTTTGCCCATGATAGGAACCATACTACCGAAATACCGTACCATGAGCTTCACCTGACGCACGTGAACAGAAGAACATTGGCCTACATATTACCCAGAAAAAGGCAGAGAGGAGGGAGAGGAGAGGATGTATTCCATCGTGTTCTGGTGAATTGGAGGTATGCTCCATGATGGACGATGTCCGTACTATGTTGACGCCAGCTCTTTGAAGAGGCGTCTGCGATTCAGCTTGTTAGTCAACGCGTTCAGGGATCAGATGAGCAGGAACGTTTGATCATACGACGTAACCCTTTAGGTAGGTTGAATTCGACTAAAACGTCAAGTCCAGGAGACTTACGGGCCGAAGAATTTAGTGGCCCTGGGTGGCTGTGCCATTGTACCGTTCTCCACAACATGGCAGCCGCGTCTGCATCGACGTCTGACGCGCAGGCCTCGTATGGGACCGAGCGAGACAACGAGCCCAGGTTGGACGTAGAGTTGCTCAAGGACACGGCAAGAAAGGCCTTGATCGACACTTTAAACGCGGTGCGCCCTGTGCTACCCGTACATCTGTTTCAAGTGAACTGAAGGTTCATTCTGTACAGGTAAATGGCGCGAAGACACTAGTGCTTGACCCTACTCTTGCGGGGCCTTTGGGACTAGTCACAGAAGTTGCACTTCTGAAGGTAGTTATTTGCACTGTTACGATGTTGATTGTGTATTTCACTTCATTATTAGCATCACGGCGTGGACAAGATGTTCTGGCTTGAGCCAGGCCCATTGACCCCGACGACAACAAATGTCGTGTACCTCTGTCGCCCGCTAATCAAGTACGTCAAGATTATTGCAGGTCTGAATTTCCCTGTTGTGTACGGTCGTGCGATAGACTCAGTGCATGCAGATCAGGTCAAAGCCCATATTCGAGAGTCGCAAAAGCACAGATATACACTCTTCCTCGTACCTCGCATCTCTACTCTAGTATCAAGGATACTTGAGGAAGAGGGCGTTCTTGGCGATATTACCATATCTTCCTACAACTTGCAGTTCATTCCAATTGCGGACGATGTCATCTCGCTCGAGAACGATAACGCGTTCAAGGAGTTATGGGTGGTATGTACATCATCCACATATTAACAGTATAGTGTAGCTCAGTCCATTCAGGATGGCGACGAAACCGTGATCTATAACTCTGCGTTAGCACTCAACTCGTTGCAGAAGGTGTACGGTCGCTTCCCTCGCATATTAGGAAAGGGAGACTATGCCTCGGTATGCTCTTCCATATTCCTGCATAGCTCCAGATAGAACCATTCTGCACAGCGGCTGGCAACCCTTCTTACTAAATCGCTACCTGATCAACCTTCTCCCTTATCAGACTCCTCGATACCTCCTGCGCCGTTTGACTCGCTCATTATCATCGACCGCACCGTTGATATGATCACACCGCTTCTGACCCAGCTCACATATGAGGGCCTCATCGATGAGTTTATTGGTCTCAAGAACTGTAAGCAGCTATCTACAAGATGCGAGAACGTGATCAGTATTGACATATTTGTAGCTCATGTTGAACTACCAGCTAGCCTCCTCACCCTCCCCGCTGTACCTAACCCCTCAAATCCCAACGCCACCCCATCAGGATCTGCATCTGTCACTCCACTTATCAATGAAAAAACCAAGAAACACCACCTCTCGACTTCCACTGATCCGCTATTGGCTGAGCTGCGTGACTTAAACTTTTCATCGGTGGGAAAAAGACTTAGCAAAGTGGCACACCGATTAGATGAAGACTACAAAGTGTGTGCTTCCACTCCTTGCCGTGATACGGTTGTTGACAGACAAAAGGCTCGATTACAGGCGAAGACCGTTGCGCAGCTTCGCGACTTTGTTGGAAAACTTGGTGGTCTTCAAGGCGAACACCAGGCGCTGAGACTTCGTGAGGGCAACTTTTTTCCTGTTTTGTGGGGGGTGTTCTCATTTCTCTGCGAAGATACTGGCCTATCGGAGATGCTCTCTCTGAAGACACGCACGGAATTATTTAATAAATCGCTTGAAGTACAGCAGAGTAAGCATATTTGCTCATGAAACCCCCCTTGAAACTTGATGTCCAAAAATAGATCTTCTGGCATCGTACGAGGTCTCAACTCAGATTAGTGCAATCGAAGATATGATTGCACAGGGTGCAAGTATGCAGACTATCGTGCGATTGTTATGCCTCGCCAGCGTTACTAATGGTGGAATCAAGGCCAAATCTTTGGACAGTGTCAAACGCGAGCTTCTCCAAGTAATCTCACTCGGTTTTTCCCGTGCTTATTGTGAAGCTCACGATCCATCTTACAGGCTTACGGGTATAATTACCTTCCTCTGCTTCTCTCGCTGGCCACACCCCCTTTGGCTGTTCTACTACCCAATCCCCTCCCAATTTCCGCTGCTCCTGTTGTCGCGGGAAACAAATACCCCTTCACAACCCTACGCAAATCACTCCGACTTCTTATTGATGATAACCCTGAAGCGCTGGAGGAAGTTGAAAATGACATCAGTTATACATACTCTGGATATGCACCTATTAGTATCCGGCTGGTACAATGTGTTGCCCAGAAGAGTGGAGTCATCAGTAATCCTGCAGAGAAGAGCAGTGCAGACGACGGAGATGCCAAGGGCAAAGGGTCTAGCGCCAGAAAACTCCACGCGCATCCGATCGTGGGCTGGAAAGGCTTTGAGGACGTGTTAGGTACGATCCCGGGAAAGACATTTGACATTGCGCAGAAGGTGCCTGTGTCTACCATCTCCGCAGCTTCTTCCGTTGCTTCCTTGAGTAAGTCTCCGGGTCGGTACCATTTACAGGCACTCCACTATGCTGACATGAATACCCAAATAGTGCGTCCACACGAGCAAATGACCACAAGTGCCGTATTTTTCCTGGGTGGATGTACGTATACTGAGATTGCCGCCCTTCGTTGGGTGAGCCGACAAAACAAAGGTACCATTTTATTGCACTCGAGCGTAGAGATGGTGTTGATTTTTTCGGCAGGTCGTAAATTCCTCATTGTGACTACGGGGATTGTGAGCGGGAATAGCTTAATCGATAGCATTGCAAGCACTGGGAAAAGCCTTTCTGCGACCAAGGACATGAACACCTATTAGTGTAAACATTGATCTAGGGCTAAGAAGGTCTACATGTCTTCCGCCGTCTAGCACGCATCTCGTACATATTGCTGATCGATACAGGAAGAATTGAGTCTAAAAAAGGGATGATTGGGGTTGCCTTAGGGAAGAAATAATGTCGAACTTGCTTAGAAACATGGATACGAGTTCTGGATATCTCGTATCCCAGACTTGGATCAACAGCGACGCGACGCGTTTGTTTGCCTATTGAATTGCCGGACCCCTGGTACTTGGTGGAGTTGATACTTGGTCTTCTGACTCTTCTCAACTATATACAGTTACTATCAGAGTAGCCGAATTGCGACAGCCTAACGAGATTCCAACTCAACTCTAAGTTGGCAGGAAACGTGTGTACTTGCCCATGGGGATGGTAACTGAAAAATGACAGTTGGCAAGTCCAAAGAACCGGGTTTTTCGATGGCCAAGTGCACCAGCTGCAGGGTTCACATTGTGGCGAGCAACTTTCTTCTTAAATACTTTTTTTTCGTTGTTATTATTACGTCAACTTTAGTGACCGGGGTCCGTCTGGCGCGAGCCCTCCCCCGGCGGGTCAACAACTTACGAAGAAAAAGGTCCGCAAACTCGAGCCAATATGAACTTTTTCCTCTCTTCAACAGACCACACCCACGTCCCCTTTCCACACACACCTTTCAACTTTTGCCGATCTCAACGGTAAGCTGACCCGATTATTGTCCTAGCTCAATATTAATGACGCCTTCTAGCTAGCTTGCGGCTTGAACCGTGCACTGCCCCTTTTATCAGCGTCCTCAACGAGTTCGCATCAACCGCGTTTTCTCACTTATACACCTGACTTGCTTGTCCTTACCTTGAATCATGCCCCCCCGGACAGAATCGAAGACCGCGTCTGAGAAACCCGCCAAAAAGACCAGTATGTCCCGTCGTCATCAAATACGTAGTTGATCGCTTATTTGTTTATTTTCATCATAGAGTCATCTGGCTTCGGTGGAAGGAAGAAACTCAGCGCGTTCAACAAATTCATGCAAACTGAAATGGCCCGGTTGAAGGAGGAGGAACCCGACATGTCTCACCAAGACAGGTAGGCTAATTATTCCTCGCCTACGTCTGTCTGCTAATGGACCAATCTATAGGTTCAAATTAGCAACGTCCAACTGGAAGACAGCCAAAGAAAACCCGAGGGCTGCTACGTGATTCGTATATTACCGTGACCCCCATCGCTACGATCGATTACTGCTTTGCGCTTTCCTCGTTCCTTTGCCTCCTGTTTGTTTATTGCCGCTCGCTTCCGTCGTTTACATTTGACTGTTAAGCTGCGCCGAGTATTATTCATATCGCCTGTCATTCTTTCTGTAGCCCTCTTTCTGTGCTGTTTAGGGTTTTCGTTGTCATTCTGTTTAGTGTTGCTACTAATTTTCATCGTATTCACACTGCTAGTTGACTTTGCATCGCAATTATTTGTTGCTCTCCTGGGTCGTGCGTCGAGTGTTTATATTTTCGCCGCACTAAGCATTTAAACATTCAGATTGGGATGCGACACTTGAACGTTGAACGTTTGAACCACGTACGATGAGATTATGACACGACACCCAAGTGACGCCTAGGTGTTTGCCGGAAAGCCTTGCTGGAACAGACCGATACATATTCACATGGTAAGTTGCCTTGCTTGAAAGCAGACCATCTAAAATAAGTAAAGCTGGTTGAAATAGGCTGTCTCAGAAATTGTGCTGGCCATTAAATCAATCGAAAACCTAGGCGAGTTCAATTTATCGGAAGGAGCGGCTGTTGTCGTCGTGCACGATGAGTTGAGCGTGGAAATGACGTACTTTGTATGGCAAAGCAACGCGTGGATCATCGTGTAGCCCCTGAGTCAATGTTCCGATGAACTCCGTACTATGCCAGCCTAGGCGCCCTAACAAGTTAAGTCTCTTGTCGTCCTGTAACAACGTCTTCCGCTTTTCTTTCTCTCTCTCTGTCCTCTGTCTCTCTTATCTTTCTCTCCATCTGCTCTATCAGCCTATATCTCTTTATCACCTCCAATTGTATCAACACATTACTTATGGAGCAACCGCCTCGCGTTGATAACGAGGATGTGTTGTTCTCCTTCGATCCTTTTGAACTGGCCGAGAGCCCCAGCGATCAAGGTTCGTTCCTTTCTTCCTTCAAGTTGTGTTCGTATCCTACATCAATCGCCATCCGCATTACAGACGCCCTATCTAATCTTGACATCCTGCGAAATCGACACATGGAAGCAGGCGGACAGGACGATCCAGAGCCTAGTACCATGCTGGGCAAGGGCAAAGGTCCCTCATTACCGATGCCCATCCCAGCACCTTTCGGTCGTGATTCCTCTGTGACCGTGACATTACCGCCTACCATCGAGTCACCTCTCGAGGGCACTTCATCATCTTCTCAACTACCATTCGTTTCCCTTGCAGGGGAACATAACATAGTATCATTATCACCAGATAACATCAGCATTTTGGGTCCAGAAGATCGCGATATACAACTCGCCGGATCATCGAGTAATGATGATTGTGTATTTATGAATGCCTCATTGCCCGGCAAAGGGAAAGCAAAGGATCTAGCCTACACGTTGCCTCCTCTCTTGTTCTCCACGAGCGACGTGCAATATCGTGCCATTGACTGGCCATCCCCCGATCCTGGTTCGCCAGCCCCATCTGCGGGACCTTCCTCTTACGGTTCAACTCACACCTCGCCTCCCTGCGCGTCCTCTCACTCAGACTCCCAGTCCCCCGAGAATAGTGCACAACAGCTTCCGGGACTGACAAGAGTGCCCTCCCGGAGGCGATCATTATCCAACCTGTCAATTCATTCTACGCGTTCGTTAGCTGCTCGATCCATGTCAAGGATCAAAGTTAAACTGGGCTCAGCATCCAAGGGCACAGGTAACCTTGCGCGTAGATTATTGTTCAGGAATAAGGCTAGTGCAGCCACGACATCAGTAGATCTCAGCCCTGCCGGTTCTGTGTCGGATCCTTTCTTAGACCTAACAACAGCAGGGCAACGTAATTGCCTTCCAGCATGGAAAAATCCCGAGTTTCAGCCTTGTCTGAACATCGAGCTTCCATCAGACGCGCGAACATATGTTCAACAGAGCTCTGAAGGTCCTGAAAGCCTCAGTAGCATCACAGGCAAAGGCCGTTCATATTCTTCTCCACTCTCTCAGTCTGTCTTTGACATCGTCCCTCGTGGCAACAGTGACGTCTTTGCCCCCGTGCCTTTAGTTCTGCAAAGTGTCTTTGATGACGCTTTACCCAGTGAACTGAAGTTGCAGATATTCTCAGCCTTAATTTCCCTGCACGAAGATGAATTTCAGCTGTGGAAGTCGTCGGGACAATGGACTACCTCAAAGGCATCCTCATCCAAGTACCGCTGGGTGGGCAGAGATCGTGGGATGCGCGAGCTGGTGAAGTTGAGCAGGGTAAGAATGATGTGCATGTTGTTGCGGTATCTGCAATGACGCATGTTGTGTGTTAGGTGTCAAAGGCGTGGCGCTCACTGGTCTTTGATGGTCAACTGTGGATGGATGTCGACCTCAAGGCATTCCCAAACCTTCCGGTGCCCTTCCTTCTGCGCCTTGCAGAGACGCTTGGGCCATTCATCAAGAATATAGATCTTACCGGATACACAAAGCTTGATCACGGCACTCTGGGTCAAGTCACGACGAGCCTCTGTGTACGCTCCGCGCCAACCATCGACTTCGCATATACACAACTTTTGGACGTAAACCTGTCAGGGTGCAATGCCCTGACTACGCAGGCATTACACAACCTCGTCATCCATTCTCCGTTTCTACGCAGTCTTTGCGTCAAAGGGTTGAAGGCCGTTGACAACACTACGTTCGATATTCTCGCGCTCTGCCCCCAGCTGACATCCCTGAACATGAATCGGTGTTCCAATATCAACGGAGACGGACTTCACAGATATGCAAAGGCCGTACTAGGGCGTCACGGCCAGCTTGCGCTGAAAGAGCTCAGGCTATGTGGATTGGAGGGTATATTTGACGAGGCCCTGAGAGTTTTAGGCAGAGCGGCGCCCTCGTTGGAAATCCTCGATCTGAGCTATTCTCGTTCTCTGCACAACTCGGCGTTAGGGGCTTTTGTGGCGTGTACAGAAGAGGAGAAGTCAACGGAGAGCGTGGTGCTGACTGCGCGTGAGGCGGGGCGAGAAGTGCGCGATAATGGGCGCTACCGGAGGCGAATCACGAAGCTCAGACATCTGTCACTTTCGAATTGCAGGCTGCTTACAGACGTCGCATGCTCCAATCTAGCGTATGCAGTGCCGCGTCTGGAGTTGTTGGAACTGGCAGGCCTTGGGACGGCGATGAAAGACGAGGGGCTTGTGAGGCTCTTGGGAACCACGCCACTTCTCCGAAAGCTTGATCTTGAGGATAACGAGGAGATCACTGACGCCGTCCTGAGCGCACTGACTCCCAGTCCTCCAGAAAGCACCAGATCAGGGTCGACACAGCCACTGCAGACAGGGCAAGCGCTGGAACACCTGGTTGTGTCGTTTGCTGTCAGCCTCAGCAACGAGGCCTTCCTTTCTCTTATTTGCAATTGCCCTCGCCTTAGGGTGTTGGAGGCAGATAGCACGTGCATATCCGGGACTGTCCTCAAAGAGTTCGTGCGACAGGCGCACGAACACAATGCGTCCGATGCGACCCTGGTTGCTATCGACTGCCGTGCTGTGGGTGAGACCTCCGTCAAGGATGTTGCTGCGATAACCCGCCCTCGCAAAGGCTGGTGTGCCTGGGATGCACGGAAGCTCGCGTACCTGGACGGTCGGGACAAGGAAGAACTGAAAGTAGGGCAGGATGAGTGCGATGAGAAGCGCATCGTGTTGAAGTCGTTTTATAATTGGCAAACTGTGGACGCTGTTCGAGCTGCGCGGGAGCGGCATCGGCGAAATTCCCGGCGTGCTGGTAACGGACCGTCAGATAATCTTGAGGACGTTGCCCAAACTGCGGGGCGCACGCGATGGTGGTCTCCCAGTAGTGGGAGGCGTTCACCTGATACCGAGGCCCCAGATGGGGTAGTCAGTGACCGAGGGGGATGTGTTATAACATAGGAGCCTTATACTTGTACGCTTTAATATTTCTTGATCTGTTTACAAAGCTGATTGTGCACATTACCCACGTAACGAGCGTTCTTCGATGTATTACTGATATTTTTCCCTGTTGTTGTTGTTGTTGTTGTTGTTCACGAGTAGGTTAACTGTATCATTCCAGATCATGATGTGTAGAATGAGAGAAGGGCTTGGGAGATAGTGGTCCAATATGTGACTGGTGTTAACTTGACTTCTTCTTCTCCTTCCGCTTTGCTTTCTTTCCTGCTTTTCGTTGTTGCGCCTCGTCGGCTGCTGATAAAGTACATTGTCCTGACTGATCTGGTGTCTGGATAGCCGAGACACTATCTGCTATGGGTAAGGCAGATGCGGGCGACTTCTTTTTCTGCTTCTTTGGTTTCTCGGACTTTGAGGAATGACTACGATCATCATCTCCATATCCTGCGAATAGGTGGGTTCTAGCGGGACTACGAAAAAGGTCACGGTCAAGACTTACCTGAGGCTGCGAAAGGATCTATCCGCTGTCGCTTCCGTCTCCCACCTACTTGTTCTTCATGTTCTGGGACTTCTCTTTCAACCATTCGTGATTTCCCCTTGTCCTGTGGTGGCAGCGGCAACGCTTCTTCTTCCATCGCGTCGTCGTTGCCCGACACCTCAGCCTCAACGAATACTTCAAGATCCTCTTCCTCTTCACTTCCCAATTCCTTCAGGTTCTCCTCGTACTCTGCACGCTCCGCCATTTTACTGGTAATTTTTACTGGAACCAGTTCACTGCTACTAGAAGCAGGTCCATGTGCCGTATTGCTTGGTTCTTCAGCTTTTACTAGCTTTGCTTGGGCGATGGCGTGTTTAATAAATCTGCTAGCAGCTGCTTTATCAATACCAAGCCTCTCTAAAAATGGATAGGATATTTAGCATGAGAATCAACGTTAGGTAGAAAGGATCCTTGCTTTTCTCTTCGGAATCTTCTGCGCTCTTGATTTTGTCAAAGTATTGGCGGACGCAATCCTGAAGCGAGCATCAGATGAGTTATAATTATGCCGCAAGAGACAAGCGCACCAGTTCACCGATAACAGGATGGGTCTTGGGATCAATTCCTCGTGTTTTCAGGTATACTGTATGTGTGAGTGGCAGAATTAGACGAGCTAGTTAATGTTCAACGATACATACGCACCGAATACAAGGTCGTATAGTACATATGGAAGGACCACTTGCAGTTTGGCCTGTTGGATGGTTTCGAGGGCTACAAGAGTCTCGGGAAGGCTCTTGGTGAATAGAGGGTCGAGCTGAGTCTCAAGCTCATCGAGAGATGCGTTAAGTTTTGCCACCTTGGCGCGTAGTCTGTCCTCGTCGGAAGCCATGCTTTTAGATAGACCGTGAGTTTTTCTGTAGAACGTGAGCTAGCTAGACCAATTAAAAGTGTTTCTTGGACGCGTCCGAGTAACGTGGTCCGTGGACATATGAGAAAAAATAAATCAAATATCTAATTGTGAAATTATCAAAATTAACTCCTTTCCTCTCAACGATCATGGTGAGTTTCGTCGGTACCACAATCTAACTATTCTGACTGGTTTATGCTAGTCCTCTGAACTCAGGTATACCGCCAACACGCAATTGGAGCATTGTGAGTACTGCTTCTAGTTCACTGTAATTTATTTGACCTTCTTTCAGTACACGCTCGTTACACAGGAACTGGTATGTTCCATTTTTAATATCTCAGTAGTTCGTTTCTGATATTCCTTCACGTCTTCAGGTCACGCAGACTTGACGAAATAGTACGCCAAGCATTTGAATCTGTACAACCTATTCTGAGCATGCAATAATAGTGACTGGGTCACACATCAACACAGAGATACGCTGTCTTCTATTGTAGGACACCCGTCTTTGCTTTCGTATCTGGCTCTTGCAGACGGAGAAGCTATCGGCCGAACGAAGTTCGAGATGACAGAGGTATGTCAGGCTACTCTTAGAACTCGGATCATAATCTGATAAATATTCATTAGCGAATGCTGCAGCCCTGCGGGCCCCCTCCCAAGAAAGACGAAGATTGAACTTTCTGCGGTGCCCCTTTTGTCGTTCCTCCGTCAGGTACAGGGATTGTATTCATGCGGAGTCCCTTTCCGTCACAGGTTACCTATCCTTCGTTGGTGCTTACGATCTGACAACGTTCTAGTTTGTAAGAGATGTGTTCATAATTATAATGTCTCCTGCACTCAATCGGGACCTGCTGTTATGCTGTCGAGGTATCCCCATGTGTCGTGAACCCTGGCTTGAGTCAACGGTATGGACCCTTCAATTGAACTCACCAAAGGTAAGAGGACCCTTTATTATTATTGAATGTGTCAAGCGGCTTCCGGTAGGAGATTTTCCATTGTGGCTTTAGGAAAATGCTAAGCTTATCTAGGCGAGTCGACCAGGAACCTTGTTGATTGGACAGGTTACTTCGGCGTCAAGTGCTACGAAAATGACAGCATTGAGGGATGCTCTTGGTGATGTGGCGGGTATTTCCATAGTGAATTTGTCTCGACAGTCGTCACTGCCACACCAACTGCTCGAGTTGGTAATTTAGCGACAACTAATTCTAGGATCGTGGAAGATGATCCTGGCTCCTTCCGTTATCTTGGAGTGATTATGGGGAAACATGTGATCTTGGCAGGCAGTATGTTTTAGGATTACGTCTGATCGAGGTGCTGCCTCCATATCACTTTGATCTCAAAGGAGGAATAATACAACCGCTGGGCGCAGAAACTGCCGTCAGTGACGGACGGAACGCAAGTATCCGCGAGGAGTAAGTTATTGCTGTACTAGGCATCGCTTTAGTAGTTGACGCTGAGATCAGCCGTGACAGGAAGCTTGACTACATTGGTTTGATCATGATTTAGTGCGGTTTTACGCAGAAAATGAAAAGCAAAGAGTGGAAGTACATGAGTAGCAGCCGTGCTGGTCGTTGTGCCCGTTAAGCCCATGTCCTTGTTCTTGAAACCTTTTCGGTATTTTTCAATGAAGATAACCGGCGGAAGCTTACTTAATTTGGAATCGAAAAATTACCAAAATTGGATATTAGCTTTGAGTTGTCACAGCCATTGTTCCCTGATGAGATCAAGTGTCGGAAATTTACTAACGCACGGTGTCCGGCCAGGTGAACAAGGTACAGCTAATATGATTACATACCCTAGTCCGGGATTGATCAGCTCTTTAAAATTCCCCACCATCAATCCGCCGCGGTGCTCATTTGAATTTCTGTCTAGGACCACTATCCTGTCCTCCAACGACCACCACACCCAATCCGGCTCTTGCTATCCTTATAGACTGCGCTTTACCCTTCAACTCATTCCCTTTGTCCTCAGTGCTTTCTACAGTGGACAATTCCCTTCTAGCAGTCCACAAAGGCCTATGCTGGCCACAATCGCTTTGACTGGCCACAATCGCTGTCGTATTAATTCTGCTCCGGCCTACACATCATGGCTTCGGAAATTTCATCGCGACCGTTTCCTCCCTTTCAGCCTTGTTCTCTCGGCGAGTGTTCCTCGTCCGAAAGCTTAATTTTGACCCCGCGACCGTCATTCTACACCTTCTCAAACAGCTCTTACGTTCCGACCGGCTCTTGCAGTCGCCCCAGCTCCTTTAGCAGTGTTGACTCTGGATACGCCAGCATCATGGGACCGCAGTCTGATGCAGATTCTATCCGAAAGCGCAGGTTTTTGGGAAAACACCTCACCCCTTCCGACGTAGACGTGGTCCTACCTCTCACCCCCATCAATCGCGCCTTGTCATGGGATCCGTCCAAGCCCAGGAGGCCGTTTCTTCAGAAGAGAAAGAAGTCACCAAGTGACGCCTCAGAATCATTTTCTACGACTTCGTGCTACAGTGCGAGCACGAGTACTCTCCCGGATTTATCTAGTGACGGAGATGAAGATGTCGAATTCATGCAGGGGCCGCACTCCCCTGCCAAAGCATTTCAGGCGAAGAATCACTTCGCCACAAGACGAGGCATGATCCATCATCCTTATCCTCCCCACCAAGCTCCTTACATGCAAGCCTACGACCGTACCCTTCTTGACAAGTGAGCTATGTTGCTGCGGTATTCCTGTGCTCGGGGCTGACAAACCATCACAGCGATCGATTCTCAGATGTTCTGTTGCAACGTCTCAGCACTAATGGGACGCCGTCGTTTCTTACATTCAACGGTAACCCACCTACTACTATTCTTGATGTGGGATGCGGTGCAGGACATTGGGCCATTAGGGCTGCAAAGCATTGGCCAAAAGCAAGGATAATTGGTATTGACTTGATTGCTCCATCAAGCTTAAATGACGGCATTGCTACGCCATCAAATGTAGAATGGAGGCAAATGAACTTGTGAGTACGCGCGTTTTTCACATGATCCTGCTTTACTTACTAATATTACTCAGCGTCGGGCACCGATTAGGCTTCCCTAGTGACACATTCGATCTGGTGCGGATGGCAAACTTGTCCCTGTGTATCCCTCTTGAGAGTTGGGAAGAGGTTCTCATGGAAGTCATGAGAGTTTTGGCGCCCGGCGGGCGACTAGAATTGATTGATGATCAAGCCTTATTCCCAACCGTGAAACATTTGGAACGCGCTCCAGCTTCGCCGGCCGCCGCCAGCGTCTCTCCTCCCCGCTGTCATTCGTACATCGACTTTGATGACAGCGATTCGGATGACGAGGACGATGACGACTTCAAGAGCACACGGAGCTCCCTATCCGAAGACGAAGAAGAATCACCGGCATACGATGCTACGTCAGAATGGACCAGACATGAATCCAATGCGAAAGATCTCGAGGGTCTGTTCGTCGATATGCTCTGGAGCAAGTACAAGATCCGCACAGACCAACGAAGAAACATACAGGAAGTTCTGGATCATGTTTTCGGCCGATACAACGCCCAGAGAGTCGCGGCGATGACTCTCGCCATTGCACCTCCTGCGCCAAATTCAGACTTGGGCTCAGGCTCTGGTTCAGATCCTGATCAAGCGTCGGTGTCGAGCGCAGACAGCAAGAGCCTGAAGAAGAAGAAAGGGAGAGTCCTCAAGCAGTGGATTGCTGTTGAATGGGACAAGATCGAGAACAAGGGCAAGAAGGGCGACCGTTCCAGTGGAGAGAGCCTCCTGTCCCCCATACCACAATCCATTAGTGCCAAAGCAGCCGGCCGTCTTGGTATTCCCTCTTCTGCTGCTACTTCCCCCACTTCACAATCGCCCCGACGTTCAGTAAATCCCCCACCCTCACGTCCTGTTCAATCTCCCGGGCTGGTCTTGTGGCCTAACACGTTGATTGAACTGGGGCCTTTCGAGCTTGAGATGCACGCATGCAAGCACATGCAGAGTCTGCTCGGGTGCAAAGCTGCACTGCATGAGTACGCGCAAGAATTCTTCCGTGATGCCGACGGAAACGCCCTTTTAGATGACGCAGTGTTAGATGATGTCATTTGGGACTACGAGTGGTGGGTACCTTCAACTGAATATTTTCCTTCGAAATCTTATCATCCACCGATTTAAAGCTTCCGCCGCAAGCGTTTCAACTGGCCCTCAGTGACTCCTGAAATGGAAAAGTCTATCCATGATGAGCCCTCCGTCACTCCTAATCACAGACTTTCAACCGAAGTACTCTCTATTCGCCCACGTCCTCGAGGATACTCAGACGCCAGTGTGAAGCAACCCGAGTCATCACGTTATTCGAAAGACGAGCTCACTTTCGTGCGCTCCATCTATGTGTACACTGCCAGCAAGAATACCGCCGACGACATCGTTTTATCATAGGAGTACCATGTACAAAACTTCATTGTTCGCATTACCTGTATACCCTTCGCCACTTCCGACGCTTTCAACCCGGATCTCATCTATCCTTCGCTTTCCTCCTCCGCTCTGCTATTGATTATTGCTATTTGCCATATCACTCCTTCATCCTGCATCGCTGCACTCGAACACTCACTCATTACAGTAACATGGTTGTCACACGTACTAGATTGCATCGTATTATCCGGTACCTTATTGCATTTACACCAGCGGCATGGGCTCAATCCTTTGTACATGTACTATATCACCAATCTTGTAGAAATTGGTCCATATGTATAGTTCACGTGGATCGCAGCAATTCAAGGTTATAATTCCTCGAAAACGATGACTTCAGTACTCTCTTGAAAACCCTTGACCAGCTGCATCTCATTGCCTTCGTTCGACTGGTCATGAATCGTACCCTGGCGTGCAGTCTCTTCACTGACTCCTGCAAAGCGTATTGACCCAGTGATCATGACCGGTTCCGAGCTCAACCGGCGAGAACAGTGTTCCTTGAAGTTGATTACTACTCGGGTACCGACCGTGGTTTCTAGAAGCATGATGAACGGGATAGATATATTTGCGTGCAGGGCCTGATTGCGTGCAGGGAACAATGTGTAATAGTGAGTAATACATCAAAAAAAAACGATCAAAAAAATCTCA